GGATGGGGTTTGAAGGTACATTATTCAAGAAATCTGTTTTACATGTACGCTTGGATCACAAATGCGCGATGCAGCCTGTGGTGAGTATGAGTGCCATCAGTAGATTTTATTGTGTCTGACAAGTTGCAGATCTTTGCCCAACACCTGGAGCTGACACACTGCACTGTCTTCTGTTCTCTATTTGAGTACTGGAAAAAAAAAACCTACAATCTTTTACAGCAAAAGGCACTAAATTTTCTGGAACTACAGCTTGACTTCATAGAGTGCCTTTCATGCCAGGTGATGTGCACAAATGAAAGTTCAGGATTTCCACTGATGATAAGGGTTTTTTAGAGGTGTTCTTCTTTTGGAGAAGGGAGGTGGTGGTACAGTATCTGAGGTGTCAGGTTCCTAGAAACTAATGTGTCTAATTTTCTCTTTCTCATTATGCAGCACTTTGTGATGGAATGACCTGAAAAGGGCTTATCAATGCTGTGTGTAGAGTGTTCATTTCAATGGAGCTTGGAAACCTAATTTCAGGAGAGGAAACAGCCTGCCAGCTCAAGCCACTTATGTAACTTCCTACTCCCTGTATTTCTCCCCAGCATACATCACTTTCAATCCCTTCACACAGCCGATCTATCACCCTGCAGCTCACAACTGGCTGCCCACTGACCATTGCGCCTGGTCAGTATCTGGATGGGAGAGCTCCTGGAAAAGCTAAGGTTTCTGCTGAAGATAGAGGGACCAGTGGGGGGGTGCTCACCCTATGGTCTGTATGGGTCCTAATTGCAGATGAGACAAATAGGACTAATTAAAGACTAATAGGTGCGGTCCTTCTTATGAGACATAGAACCAAGGTCTGACTCTCTGTGGGTCATTAAAAATCCCAGGGTGTTTCTTGAAAAAAGTAGGGGTGTTAAAAAAAGTAGGGATGGCCTGTGTCCTGGCCAAATTTCCCCCTGGCCTTTACCAATCATGGCCTCCTGATAGTCCCCATCTATGAATTCTTCTTCTCATTATTATTATTATTATTATTATTATTCACACCCTCCAATACTGCTTTTGCATTGAATTATTGTCTGTTTACACAGGAAAGGGTATTATTACCCTTCAGCCAAGTGAGTTTTGCTTTAACGTCAGAACAGTATAGAGAAACCTAGAATTCCATACATATCCAAGCACTGATTTGTGTAGTGTTGCCTGAGGTTCCTATAGTGCATTACATAAATTGAGAGTTCTGAATAGCAGCCGGTCTTGCTGGCCAAGGGATAACGTGGGGTCTGTTGACAGACAAGATGTAACGATGTTACCAGAAAGGCTGGACAGTGGGAGACAGCCAGAAATGTGGCAGCTGCGAAAGATTAAGAAGGAGTAGTCTCATCTGCAATCTATAAAACAAGGGAAGATTTGGCTCAGATTGGCTGATACTACTGTTCTTAACCAAGACAGTGCGACACTATCTCTGACCCAAATAGGAAGTGGTTGTTTGAAACTGCAAGATAACAGATAATGGCAGCTAATTCCTTCTCAATACCCACACCGGGGCAAATTCTGCCACATGTACAGTACTCTATTCCATATTTCCTGAGTGTTGCACAGGAATTATGTGAGTTTCATACTTCATGTAATGAAAAAGGTTCACTCCTGGTGATATTGCAAAACGGTGTCTGAAAAGTATTTCTTGATCTATTTCTCAAAACTAAGAGGTAAATAATTTCCTCTCGGAAAAACAGAGTGAACTGCTTGTTGTGCGAACAGAGTCTTTTATGCTACATTTATGTTCTGTTTGGACTCACTATCTTGATATCATCCAGACTTGCTGAAGTCAATGCAAGAAACTGTGGAATTAAGCCACACAGAGGGCCAGTCAGAGGTGTCTACTCCCCTGTGTTTGAAGTTTGAGAAAGAAGGCAGAGAAAGAGTTGGTTTATCATAGAGTACTACTGTATGTTATTCTAGCCAGGAGCCTCAATACTTATTTATAACTAATTATAAGATAAGCTACACAAGCAATATTACTAAATGAAATTCAATACATGAGCTGGGGTCCATGTATTGAAAAGAATGCATGAAAATTACATTCTTAGAAGAAGAACTGGAGAGTAAAACCTTTACAACTCACGCTTAAGCTAAATTCTGAAATTGACCACATTTTGTTGTTTTTTTCAAAGGGCACTGATCTAAATATTAATATTCACTATTATTGTCCTTATAATTAATTACAATCTTAATGAAAACTGATATAAAATAAATAAACTTTAACATTACTTTATTAACCCTTTACAATTTCTTGCATTAGGAATTATCTTTTTGCATACCCCAGCTTGCTCTCCATGAGACACACAGACACACAAACAGGAAGAGAACCTTGGGTCAGGATCCAAAATTACAAAACAGTGAGGGGAAATTCAAACCTCTAGTCACTTGGACATATACGCCCACCATACAACTTTATAAAATTACTGGGGTCCTTTGCATTAATCAGCATTAAAAAAAATGTTCATGGAAGTCATGTGGTGTTTTGTTTTATGGTTAAAATTCCTGTTGCTACAAAAAGCGTGCAATGCTGGGTTTTTGATTGCTCATGCCTCAAGTAGAGAATGTCTGGGTTCGCTGTGGTTTTTGCCCAGCAAAAGCATGGCACACATTTCAGTTTTTTATTAAGTGGATGTGATCACTGCAGTCAAATCTCTTCTCTGACCACAGATGGAGAATTACAAGAATGTTGCATGTAGTACTGCAGTGAACAAGCAGGTGGGCCAGCCTTTTGGGTTTCTTACACTGTATACCAATTCCTTTCCATACAGCTCAGAAAGGCTTAATAGAAAACAGATCCAGTCTTAGCCTGGGGATCATACTCTGGGCTCACAGCTGGAAATGGGAAGATCTTGGAGAAATGTATACTTCCCATTGCGACCTGCAAGTGTTAAACCTTTGACCTACAAGCCTGTGGTACTGACGAGCCTATAAAAAAAAAAAGCAAAATTGAATTGCCAGAGCTGAACCAAGTTATTCTAAGCAAGTAGGTACAAATTGCATCTCGGTTTCAAGTCAGCCGGACATGAACCATGGCAGTACTGTCATGTTTTGTGAGGTAAAAGCTCAGTTTGAAAAACATAACTAGTGCAGCATGGACTGCTTTATGTGTAGCGTTCTCTGGTCATTTCTGTGTAGTAATACTGAAGTTGGCATAGTTTCTGTTCCATTTTAGCACCAAATGCCATTATTTAATAAGCTGAGATGGCACAAAGGTTTCTGGAACAGAGTCACCCTGTAGTCCTTTATCCAGTCATTGTATACTAATGAAATTGGCACAATGTGTAGAACAGCCCCGCCTCAAAACAGAAACAGACACTCCAAAATTGTCACAAGAGGGGGAGATTACATACCAGCACAGTGATGTGAGCAGGTAGACAGGTGAATTGCATTCTCTTGTTTGTGTTGCTCCTCCTAACAAACTGCTGCTCGCAGCACAAAAGCAGTGATGCAGCACCAAAAGGCTCAACTACCTGAGTGCACATGGCTTTTAGACACATTGGTTAGATGTGAATTCTGTGGTTTCTCTCCATCTTTTGCTGATTGACGTTTCGTAACTGCTATATATGTGCACGAGATTCCACAGTGTTTCACCTCAAGTTACTGCATTTATTGGTTGTAATGTCAGTATTTGGTGCATATTTTGTTGCACAGCACAAGGTTAAAGTACTATTCAATTTTACTAGCAGGCGTAAGTCCTGAATGTAAAATGCAGGCTCATCCTGGCCTGCGTCCACCTGAAATGGAAGGGCAAGGATGGAAGTCATGGGTTATCCAGTAAGCACACAGAGCTCTTTATCAGCAGTGTAATAATCGTGGAATTTAGGGAGTGATGCCGAATTTGGCATATGGAGCAGATCTCTGAATAAGCAGGGAAAGGAGGGGTAAAGATCAGACGTTTTTTCACCAGAATTATTATTTTCCTAATGAACGTTGACAAGCAGTTCATCATGCCATTAAATATGTTCACCTTGCCCTCCTGAGAGCCTTGATTCACACACTGCAGAAAAAAACACACATCCTGGCTTGAAGTGAGAGATGTGCAGTGCATAGCACCAGAGTTAACAGAAGAACAGACATGCTTACAGTAGAAGGTGCTCAGTTAGGAGCTCGTTAAGCATTTGAGTGGAAACACATAATTTGGATTAAAAACAAGAAGTGTCCTTTGTTGTTATAGTACAAACAAACAGCACAATAGGTACTATTAACTGGATTATTTTAGAGACAAAGTTTTGCTAATTAACAGTTTAAAATAACATATTGGCCATCATTAATACATTATTTAACAATACACAGAAGAAAAATTTGTATCACAGTTACAGAACCTGAACACGGAGTGACTCACTTCCAACTTGCTCATTCAAAATTAATTCACACATCGTACTATTGCAGTAAGCTTATTTCTACTGTCTGTGTTAACTAATGTAGCTAAATCCAAAAACAGCTCTAGAGTTGATCGGACACAGATCAACATTTTTCTGGCTTGACTTTTACTTGCCTGATGGAATTCTGTCACAGCTATAGCCATGCTTATACAGTATTCAGTTAGAGGGAAGTTGTCAGTTGTGTTAAACTTAAATGACCCTTAAGACAGTTTACCATGGAAAATATACTACAGGATTTGCACACGTACGGTATAAAAGGGCCTTACACAGTTAAAATAGAATCACTCACTTTCAAATCGCTTCAGCATGGAATTAATTAGAGCACTGTAAAACCCTTGCTGATAAAGTAATAGGTCTGCATATTCCATCATGCGGAGCTTTTTCGGCTGCTACTGTGACAGGTGATTTACTGTATCTGACCTAGTTACTGCACATCTGAAATTCCACAGCGATCCGTCACCTTTAGACAATACACATTATAATAAGTATTCATGACCCATTTAAAAAACATCCCACTGAATTCCCCGCCCCCCCCAAAAAACAACATTTTAATCACTTGTCAAATATTGTAGAAATGATTGCACCCCCCCTCCTTACCTGTTTAGTAAAGAGGATTGCTGTATCCCAGTACTCGGGGTGTTTGTCGTTGTTTTTGTTTAACTTTTTCTGCCAGGTGCAGAAATTACGCAAAGTCAAGGCTGCGTTACCAGAGACCTTGGGTCCTTTGTCAGCTTCATTTATCACCATAAACTTCACCACTGCGATGTTGATGGAGTTGAGAATGCTCGGGTGCTTGTAAAGTCTAGCAGCGACGGACATGAGGGTCAGGAGGTAGTGCTTAAGGTCGTCACCGTGGAATTTAACCATCGATTCGTCGGCAACAATTAGGGTCTCCACGTATCTGGGGATAGAGGCAAATCGTTTGGATCTGCTCAGTGTTCTTAACATAGTTTCGGTCAGGTTGTCTTTGTTATGTCCTTTTATGTTTTTATATTTTCCCAAAGCTTCTAAAATACCCCGGTTTAAGTCGGATCCTACCCCACACCTGGAAGTAAAATTGCCGGCTTGGAGACGAGTGCTGCGGCGGTGCACAACGTGCGCTCTTTCTGTGCCTCTGGTGTTTCCGGCTGCCGTGTCATTGTCAATGGGATTTATGAAGTATTCTGACCCTCTGTACCCAAATGCGCCTTGCAAGCCTTTGCACACACTGAGAGCTGCATAGGACCCTTCGTCGGAATTGACTTCACCTGAATAAAAGCAGCGACTCAGGTCTGGGTTTGTAGCCGGATTGGGAGCTACACCAGCGCTGTGCGCGTTCACGGAAGGCGCAAGGAAATTTGAATCTGGCGACAGACTGAGATAAAAATCCTGCTTGAACGCGGTAATTTTAAAGACAACCCGTTGCTCGCTTGACTCTTCTTCGTCGCTAAAGAAATTGTGCTTTGCAGAATTGTGATGATCCAGTCTAAGAGGGATAACAATTTCACTTTCCGTGGAACGGCTAATTTTGACGAATAGCATCAGAAGACCCCCCAAAATAATAAGGGTTCTTATAAACATTAACATGGTTAGTTCTGAAATGGGTGTTCTGATAAAAAAACCGTTAAATTCTGTTATTTTGCAGGCTAGGTATTCTACTGTTGAAAAAAGATCTTGATGCATGCAATATAAATAATCCAAGGTACTGTGCAGGTCTGTAGCTGTGCGTCCTTTCAGCGTAAAATCCTGTATTTCCCCAGTATACGATCCATTTCCATCTTCTACCTGTCTGTTGAAATGAGTCTCTCTTTCTGCGGGTTTTATGCTTTTGCGTCATGTGTAAACATTGAGGAATTGTAATCAGAGTTTTTGGGAGGTGCTGGAGAAGCTCATTGGACATGCCTCTTGGTTTGTGTTTAGGACCTCAGCCACTTGTAGCTCTCCAAATATTATTATCACTTTGCAGCACGTTGTACAAGACAATCGGTTTCCTCCCACTACTGGGACAGACGGTTTAAAGTGCCAGGGAAGCAAATTCAAAAGGGACCGCTAAATGACTTAACACTTTGTGTCTGTGTTTAAAGAGATACAGTAGCAAGGTATTTCCCTTAATTAAAATATCTCAACCCCAAACCCCATATTCCACCCCAAGCTAATGATAGCCCAAACACGCTTTGCTCTTTCTGTGAAACAAGTTGACGTTTTTTTTTCTCCTGTTTGTGTTATGAGGGAGAGTATTGAGGGCGCAAAAAAACTTATGTAAAATTATGTAAAACTTGTGATGTTTCAATTCAAAGGAAAAGGGACTTTGTGAGAATTCTTAGATTATTTAGAGAATTATTGAATGATTGTGTTTCTGATTTGTGTCACAACGCGGTTTGATGTGGTATATTATCACTATCATCTCTTCAAGATAAATTGAAATCGACACACCAATGACCTTATTATGCAGAGTAATACTCGGCTTCCCACATCCGTTTATGTGAACTGTTTACAGAACAAAGTAGCAGAAACCTGTTGTTGAAACATTTGCCCAGGTGTGTAAAATATTTAATTTCTGCCATAGTTAAGGACCTTTTAGCACAATTGAGCACACTTTAGCACAATTAAGGATTTTTTGTTCATGTCTCTCTGGCATTCTGGCTCATTTCTAGACAGATTTCACGTGTTTTTACTTACTTAATGTATTGGTTCATTTAATTCCCTAGAGATCTATTGAATGTATCACATATCTCAAAAAATTGTTTCAGACTTGTGTAACACGTTAGTCACTGAAAATACGTCAATGCAACTGCTTTAAAGGCTGTTTTCGGTATATTTTTTCGCACAGTGTTTAACTGTCATCAGATTTCATATGAGACAACTGAGAATATTGAAGTAATTTCTGAAGAATTCGCATCTTTTTATAATGCTAGAACTTGTGACATCATATTATTTTCAATATTTGCGAATTTAACCATAGAAAATAGTAACCACTTACAAGCGCACTTCACCAAACTGTAAAAATCAGGGGGCGGAATATTGTTTTTATGTTACCAACTGTAAACGTTAAGGATAACATTTCAAGTTATTAAACTCGAACAGCACTAAAACGTTTTCAGTCCTCATAGGATAAGATTTTTTGTGAAAAGCCTCTTTCACCCGTTTCTTTCACAAATTCGTTGTTTTAAAATCTGTGCGTTCTTTGATCTCTGTTGTGTTGAATAAGAATGATTGCCTAAAATTATCGTAGCCTTGTAAGTATTTAGCGAATTTTGATGATAGTGAGATCAAGGATGATGGTAAAAACGCTTCATGTTGAATCTACACTACAGGTTTTAGTACCCTGATGAATGAACATTTAGAGATTAAACGAAAGCGCCCTCTTTAGTTCAGAGAAATCAACAAACGTTCTTGATGCTTAAAGGAACACTGAAACCAATCTAGTAAGCTGCATTCGCCAGACAGAGCTTTTTTGACTGTATTTCAAGAAAAAAAGATTTTGCTGTTAATTGTATAAGTGAAACACGACTAGCCAAATATTCACTTTCTCTAATTGCTTATACAGCTGCTGTTGTTACGTTTTAAGGAAATGGTGATATCAATATAAAATGAAAACCGACCATATGATAGATAATAAGAAACTTTATTATTATTTAGCGAGCCAGCAGTCACCCTACAGCTCTCAACTGGCAGCCCCACTGAAGCTCAGCAGGGTTGAGCCTGGTCAGAACCTGGATGGGAAACCTCTTGGGAAGCTATGGTTGCTGCTGGAAGTGGTGTTAGTGGGACCAATGGTGGGTGCCCACCCTGTGGTCTGTGTGGGTCCTAATGCCCCAGTATAGTGGTGGGGACACTATGCTGTAGCGGGTATCATCTTTTGGATGAGACGTTAAACTGATGTCCTGACTCTCGGTGGTCATTAAAGATCCCTGGGCATTTCTCGATAAGAGCAGGGAGTTATCCTGGTGTCTGGGACAAATTGCCCCCCTCAGCCTTTACTGTGGCCTCCAAGTTCTCCCCATGTATGATGGGTTTGCACCTGCCCTGCGATGGACTGGCGTCCCATCCAGGGTGTACCCTGCCTTGCGCTCGTAGCTTGCCAGGTAGGCTCCAGCTTCCCGTGACACCGTATGGTATAAAGTGGTTTGGCAAATGACATGACATTACATTTTTATATAGTGCCTTTTAGAAGTGCTTCACAGAACAACAACAAAAGAAAAATAAGCTCATTGACAAATGATAGTACAATAAAATGGGGTATACAGTGGGAAAGCCAAAGGGAACACAAAACCAGTTAAATGAAAGCCCTTCTAAACAAGAAGGATTTGAGTCTATATTTGAAAGGGCTCAGGGAAGGTGACTCTCTGATATCCTTGGGGAGAGAGTTCTAGAGCTCTGGGGTGCAGCAGGAGAAGACCCATTGAGTGCAGACAGGCTTGGTGGACAGACAGGAGACCAGAATTAGAAGAGCGAAGGTTGCAAGGTGGGGAGCAGGATGATAGTAAGTCAGACAGGGTCAAGCCTCAATCAAATATCACTCCCACGTTCTTCAATATTGATTGAATCTCAAGTACAGTACCATCGTCAAATAGTACCATCGTTAAAACAGCTGTTTTAAACAGCTGACGGGAGCTGCCAAGAAACATTCAGATTCAGATGAAGGAAATATTGAGTCATTCATGTCTTATTTTACATCAGAGATGTACTGGAATTAGCGAGAGCAGAGACTCCCACATTAATGTGAGGCTTGGTACGTAGATTTGAGAATCGTCGGCATAGAAATTATCATTAAGACCATATGATATTAATAATGAGTAAGTGCCCCCTGCTGGCTCCACTAGCACCTGTTCCAGTAGCAACCTTAGTTTTTCCCAGGAGGTCTCCCAGCCAGGTACTGACCAGGCTCACACCTGCTTAGCATTAGTAGGTTGCTAGTTGTGAGTTGCGGAGTGATATGGCTGTTGGCTATATACTAGCTAATCAAGTGGGAACATGTAAATGAAAAGTATGGGGGCCAGTATCAAGCCCTGGGGAACACCAGATTTACTGAGTCCAATTTCAGACCTAAAGCCACCAAGAGGGAAAACGTGACAGCAATCAGTGAGGTAGGACTTGAACCAGTAACCCCAAACACAGTCTTAAGACGAGAAAGTAAGATATCATGGTCAACAGTGTCAAAAGCAGCACTAAAGTCAAGACACAGAACCAGAATCAGCATCCAGAAGATCATTAATGATATATATGCACAGAAAAAGCCTAGTAAGAAATGGTAGCACTGAAGATGCAAAGCATTTACGAGCGGTAAATACTTCATATGACTTAAGTGTAATATTTGAATTACCTGACAACCACTTTGCAGTTCATCTGATTATGTTAATCTGACTATAAAATAATTTTGCATTACCTGCTGGTGATAAGGGTGCAATTTTCTTTTCACCGCTGAATGTATTTTATTACATCATCGAGTTGATTTTAATGTTTTTTTTTCCGAAAAATTTAAAATCTGAAGAAATGTCTCCCTCTGGTGTAAGAAAAAACAGTATTGCGCCTTCTTTTACAAAAACGTCGGAAGACGCTTTGTTTTGCTGTGTGCTTTCTCACTGTCCAAGATCGGCACCTGGTGGTGAAACATCGGCAATAGCCAGTTGTCGAAAAATTATCCAGAGATGTAGTTCCTACTGATCTGTGGATAAAAGCTTACTTTTACACCACAAAGATACGTTTTAATCCTTCTGATGCCGTCTTTTGAAACCTTATAAATTATGACATACAACCACAGTTTTCTTGCATCGACAAATTGGGATTTTACCTTGCAAAAACCTGGTTATAAATATCTCTTTTTTATTAACTTGTTATGATTGTGTTTATTATTTTGTGCCTAGCAATATTTTGCAAACAATATGCAATGGGCCCTTAGTATCACTTAATGTCATTGTTGCGTTGTTGTAATTTTCTGCTTCTTACAGCTGGTAGCTGCATCGTCTATCCTCACAGTTGTCTGGATGGTTCTTGGACGGCTTATACTACAGAATTTATAAATGCCTGAACAGCATCGACACCTTGTGGACATAAGAGGATTTAGATACACCCGCTGGTCAAAATTCGTAAAATAACAGCACAAAATATTATTAAGAAGAATAACAAGAACGTCATTAAAGCACAATACTATGAATGTGTTTCCTAATTGTCTTACGAGTTCAGAGAATACATTTTGACCAAGATGGTGTGCATACTGTAGTTTGGTTTTATTTCTTTTCAGGATTTTTTTCTTTCACTGTATTATGTGAAACATATCGTACGTGTATTGTGTTTAACAGAAACTACAGAATTATTTGAAGTACCTCTAATGTACTTAAACTGAATGCCAGCAGCAAAACGGCGCACATTGTAACGACTAGTACAGCATTTTCTAAAGCATAAACATCGGGTCTATGATTTTTTAAATATTTTTTTCTCCCCAGATTATAATGAAAACCTTTAGTTGTTTTTTTTTTTGTCGGTTTCTTTTCAAATCCAATTAGTTTCTTCTGTGATTTGCGCATCAGGCGCAGCAACAATGTCAAGCTGACGGACGAAATTCTTCCACTTTTACACCGCAGTGACAGTGTTGGTAAAGATCCCAGAATTCTAGCTTGATACATTTTCGAGACTGATGGTGACGCTTCTCGTTTCCTTTTTTATTAAGGCGATAGAGAAGAGCGTCTGTTACCTTAAACAGCACTAGCACCGATTTTCTAATTGAACATGTCCCGACAATGCCCTAACAGTACAAATAAAGCCTACAGCACTTTCTATAATACGTGCTAATCATAATTAGGTTTTGATTTACTGGTTTACGCTAGAAAAAGACAGAGTGTTCCAGCCCTGAGCGCTCTGCCGATAGACTCTAGCCGGACACTTGTTGCGCATAAGGCGTCATTGTAATGGGTTTTAATAGGTTATATACAAATTAAATACATGTGTACTGTGCAAACAAACCCGCCTTATTCCCATTTTTTATATGTATTTTATTTGATATCCATTGCAGTTGTTTTCTCTATATTAGAATACCAGAAGTTAATTCCAATTCCATTCATAAAACGCGACTTGCATCCCAAGCACACTGCCACACATATGGGGGAATCGCAACCTCGTGTTTTTGGCATCGCAAAATCATGTTTTTAAAAATCTCTTCTTCAACAAGTTTCTCTGTCCAGCTGCCGCTGAGGTTTTATTGCCTTGCCGGGCAATAAATTCAGATTTGCGCCCCTGTTGTAAATGCCAGTGGGCTGCGGTTTCGCGAGCAATTACGGTGTCACTTTCGTGAGCTTCAGTTGAAAGCCTGCGAAAGCTTTCCTTAACGCAGAAAGCAGACCCGAGTGGAATTATTGAGCAACAGCGCTGGCTTCGCTTCCTTCTTTATTTTCAATTATAGTTCATGTGCAAAGCTTTCAGAAAACACTACTGTTTTTGTTATACGATCACTATCCGTCGCGTAAGAGGAGAATGTGCCACTCGAGAGAATACTCAAATTAATTGCGTGATTTAATCCAATTTCCTTCCTTTTCTTCCGTCCCTCCATACCTGGGCACCGTACGTTAATAGGGTAAAGCGTTTCCTTTGAAATGGCTTTACGGTGGTTTAACAGGAAGAGGTGGCGTATTTGCAGCTCAAAGAGAAGTAAAATGTAGTGCGCAAATATTTACTTTAATTCCATAGGCAGCAGCCCGTATCTCAGCCCATAGTCCTTGCCTGAACGTTTATAGAGCATCTACACTTTTTATGTAGGCATCTAAAACTACTACAGTTGTTACTACTAATAATGAGTCAATGTCAGTGAAATTATTTCAAGACGTCCTGCGGTGCGTGGGTCCTGACTGTGGTCTGAGCGCTCGTGATTACTACGGAGTGTCTGTGGGAATTTATGCAGGGGGAAGGGGGGGTATACTAGCCGTGGATAGCCTGCAGCACCCTACCAGCAGAGCTGTATACTGAGTTAATAATAGCCATCTGGAAGTCAAATTCGAGCTATTAAAGAAGGGGGTGTGTCTGTCCGTTCTCATTGGATCAGTTTGATCCAAAAGTTTTTCATGAAGTGCAAAGGGGGAGGAGAGAGCGGGCCGGCAAGGGATATCAAAAATAAACCTCTTAAGTCTAAGAAGGGCAAGAAAGTATAAATACCACCGCCGCTAGCAGCCTTCTCTGGAGGTGCGGAGTGAAATGAGCAGGATTTAGCTCTTATATTGGAATAGCTTTAAGGCAACTGCAATATAACGTTAGAACACTCGAGACCAAGACTGGTTTTACAGCACTGATAGATTAGTATTTTCGCTGGATCGATTAACTTAGCATTTCAAATTTCTAGTTTGTCTGTTGAAGTGAAGAACAGTCTAGTGCCAAGATACCAACCTCCCTTAACGAAAAAGAGAATTCTTAAACAGTAATATATACCTTTTCACAGTGTCTGTATGCAGACATATTTTAATAGCTATATCAATCTTTGTTTTAATAAGAAAGCTGCTTGCTTCATTAACTCGCAAAATATTTCTAAAAAAAACTGTAGTTTCACTTTTACTATCCCGTGCAGTGATTTTTTTACTATCTTATAAAATGCGTTTGTGGGTGCATTTAGCTTTGTTAATATTTGCTGTAACGAATTCTGCACTTTCTGCTGAACTGTTCGAATCGGAGGAGGTTGTACCTGTCAGGATAAGCGGAAGAAACAGCGGTCGCTTTTGGAAAAGGAGCGAAGATCTTCCAAGTTACAAACTTGTCGCTTTTGGCAAAGACTTTGTGCTGAATCTCACCCCGGATGATAGCTTTTTAGCCCCGACTATTAAGATTCTCCGAATCAAAGCCAAATATCTTCATGTGCTTTCTGACCTTGACGCTCCAAGTGCTGAAGCTGAGAAACTAAGAAACATAAACGAAACAGAAGACGGTGAAGATCTGAGAAGATGTTTCTACTCGGGGACCGTGGGCTTCAACCAAGACTCCGTGGTGGCCGTTAGCCTGTGCAACGGCATCCGAGGATCATTTATAACAGAAGGGGACGAATATCTGATTGAGCCGAAAGTCTCCGGCAAAGGAGCGTCTGAGAAATCGGCCACGCAGTTACATGTGATCAAAAGAAGGGTGCTGGCCAGCACAAAAGGCGAGTCAAAGGTCACATTCGACCAAATGGAAGATGAAAAGCAGGAGAACCCAGGGGGGAGCATTTTATTCAAGAGAGCGGCGGAGGCCAGGAGGATGGCGAGAAAGAAGCGCTTTGTTTCTGCAGCCCGATATGTTGAAACTTTGTTGGTGGCAGACCCGTCAATGGCTCAGTTTTATGGGGAAGAGATAAAGGTACTGTACATATTCACATTTCGCGTCTCTTTCTTTACGTGTATTGGAGGCAAGGTTCATATTATTTGAATGAATATTAATGTGGAATTAATAGTATGTGAACGTGCAACAAAGGGCCTTTATAAAATTGCCTCTTCTTTACAGTGAGTACTGAGTAGCTGCACACTACTGGGTGGGATGCTTATGCGTATAAAACTATCAGTGAACGTCTGGCGTTTTAATGACCTTGAACACTCGGGCTTTATGGAAGTCTGTGTCTTCAGATTAGATTTCAGGTGATAGGCAAGGTAGATACAGTAAGTGACCAGATGTCGGCTCTACATTTTAACACCGCACGTCAAGATGCCAGTTTAGAAGTTCCAGTACAAATGAACAGCTCGAGTATTATTAATGGAACGAAAACTAGGTGATGCGTGTTCTAATTATCAAGTACCCGCAACACGTGGAATTGTACATTGGAAGAGTTCATCTAAGAGCATTTAGGAAATCACCCGAGATTAAGAAGTAAAACATTTGAAGTCGCTCTTGTACATCTCAAAATAGATGTAAATAGAAGGGATGTTACTGGGTCTGGCACTTTTAACATGTTAACATTTACAAGTTCCAGGGTACGCGTTTTTCAACAGTTTAATTTGGAAACTGACAGCTTCAAAGCAACCATGCCAAATTGCTTCGTCACGGGTCGTTAAAATGAAACGTTTCACCTCACTGAATCCTAACAGTTTAACAGGCAGCTTATTTAATTATCCATTTTATTATTTCATGGATATATTAAAGTACATCTCGTTCCACTTATGTGTGTACCTGTATATGTAATAATGCTGGGTATATACAGTACGTACCGATATACATGATATCCTGACCCTAGACAATTATGATTTAGAATAAAACGCTTTAAAATTGGTGAACTGTTTTTTTATGAGCTGTAATTAAAATCGTAAAGACAGCATTCATCATCGTAGTTCAGAAATGTCATTACAGAACAAGATTAATTTTGACACTTTTTTAAACATGCATTTTGTGTGCGTTGGCATACAGTTCGAGGTCTGATTTTGCATGACACCACATTTGTCTGTTTTCGAGCTCCTTGGTGCTTTTGACGCGCGCAACAGCAGAATATTAGTAATTCGTTCCGAAAATAATGATCTCATCTGTTATCCTTCACCTAAGGAGGAGGCTGTTCCTTTGACCTTAAAGTGCTTAACGCATCATGCGAACTATGTGTGCAAGTGGGCGTCTGTAGGGATCGCATCAGTCTTTTATGCAGGACTCCAAACGGGACTGACCGACTGGCTCCGGTTAACATCGACTATGTACTTAGGATCGCCGCGCACGTCTCTTCTAGCTGCACGACTTAACACAGAGTCGACAAACTAAGAAACCACAAATAACAGTTGTATCTAGACGCTCAGGTCTGGGGGCAAACAGCTTTGTTCTTGAATCTTAAGCTGAACTGGGGCAGAGCGGAGAGACTTCTGTGCGTTACGCGAGTGGTTACGCACTGTGTGGATCGAGAGCAGAACAGTCCGGACACACAAAGAACAAACTAGAACAGAACAGAACAGTACACAGAAAAATCGTATCACACATATGAGTATAAATATCGATGTAAATATAGATATAGATATGGCATCCTCATGTAATGGCACCAAAGAATGGGTGACAAAAAGCTACTGTAGTTCTATGGAAGGTGCACAGATGAAGAGAGAGATAAGGAAATGCAATTCTGTAAAGGGCTGGCCATCCTCTAACCTCAACCAGTCCCTGCAAAGAGCAAAGGTTTTTCTCAGAACCTCGTTGTAGGAAATCATGTTATTGAAATCAACAGAGGGAATGGTGTAAAAAATCATAATAATTCATTGCACTTACAGTATATTGTGCTTTTCAGCCCAAAGAATCCTGAAGAGTTTTACATAGAGGATGGGACCTAGTAATATTGAAGTACTGCCCTCAACTGGGTGACACCACATGATCCAATTGCCCTTACACAGCAAATCAGGAAGGGAAATGAGACATTGGCCCACCAACTGAATTAAGGGGGAACTTTAGAAAGGTCAGACTGGACCAGACCAGAGCTAAATTTTGCCAGGACCTTGAGTTTAACACCAATGCACTTATGAGCAGTGCCATGCAATCTTTAGTGACCAAATAGTCAGGACCTACCTTGGTTTAAAATCCCATTCAAAGAGTGGCATCTCCTACAGCACTATGTCTATGGCAACCATACTGGGGCATTGGTTTCTCTGCTGGATTCTGGTGCAGAGATAAGAGCACCCCCTACAGGTCCACCAACATGACTTACAGCTGTGACCAATTTTTCTTGGAGGTCTCCCAAGTCAGTTTGACCATGTCCATCTTTGCTTAGCTGCTGATGTCTGACAAGAAGGATAACAACATGATAACACTGCTTCATGCATGCCTAAGACTGAGCACGCCAGAAGATACTCCTTAACTGGAACTTCTGTCTACAGGTTATTCTGTGGTTATTAGCATTCATCTTTATCTGGTAGAGCCTATATGTGCTTTCAGCATACAGAGTAAAGGAGTGGCTCTCAAAACTCAAAGTAGTGTAAAATGTGTACAAAACACTAACACACATAAGCAAGACTGCTTTTGCCACTACTGTAAGTTGTAAAAACTGCAGTCAATATATTTTTGCTGTCATATCCACAGGGGCAAAATCAATGTAGACTTTAGGTACTATCTTGCTGGCAATATGCCTTGACTTGTAAGTGCATCCTTTTAGCCTACTTTGTGAACTGCCACAATTGGAGATAATGTTACAGTGCAACAGCCAGATATACATTCTATTTACTCTACTCAAATACTTCACTTCTCTAAAAAATAGCTACAATTTGGCCATTATGAAATCAAAACCTCACTACACTTGCTTGTTAAAACTGAGCTTTTCGTTTCGACTGTGGGAGGGACAGAGTTCTCATTTTGTCATGTTTTTTTTTATTTTAGACTTATTGTGCAATATTATACTTGAAATACTTCAAAGCTGATTGAGAAACATGATGTTCTTCACAAGCTAGATACATAATCCTGGTACTTTCACTACAGCTGCAACACTTTTATCAAGCAAAAACATAGTCATAATTTGAAATAGTGAGGAGTGTTTTAGTGATAGATTAAAGTAGCTCTGTGTGGTACTCAGATAACGTCATATCATACCTAAACACAATGTTGAAATATATTTTATTAAAATGAGATCGGTTGTTTGTTTAACAATACCCTGCCCAGTATCAGTATGTAGATAAAAACAGACCAAATAGCTTCTGGAATGAATTCAAATGTTTTTTTTTTGTTACATTCAAATGCTTGTGCTTTGAAATTTGAACAGTATGTATAAATAATGTCCACATGTTTGTAAACTGACTACATTACAAGGAGATAAAGAACAGTTGTGTTACAAACCCCTGACATGTAAGGTGTCTCTCTCCAAAGGGTCACAGGAATTGCTGCTGCTTCAGCGTCTCAAAGGATGATTGTCAACCACCCCGTTCAGTGCTATAGAAAATGGCTCATGTGGGTTATAGTTAAACTGTCAGACAAGACTATAATTTACATGAGCTGAGAATCTATCCCCAAACAAGAAAAAATGAAGAAACATTTGAAGAAAATAGTAAACACCAAGACTAGATTAAAACAATTTCTGCAATTTATCCTTTTCTGCCCTTTAGAAAGCAATGGTAGGTCTCATTATCTTCTGTTGCTGCAGGTGTACAAATACACTTTTGATTTCCATGCCCCAGCATGTCCTATTACATTTTCTACCTCTTTATACATGGCAGTCTTGTATTAATGGCAGAAAACCTTGAACAATTGTTTTTATTTTTCTCCTATGGATTGTAAACAGACATATTCTCACAAGAGACCACCAGCTTTTGACATTTCATTTTGGAGTCATTATTACAAAATAATGACACAAGTTCTTGGGCAGAGGCTTGGGCTGTTGTGTCCTTCAGGAGTCTGAAAGGGAACGACGAGAAGTTATTTTGTGACTCTTCTTTCTTCCTCAACCTGAATATCGCTGTCTTAATTTGGACTTTGTATTTCCTGCTTTCCCCCTGCTTTGATTTACAAGAAGCAACATTCATATCTTTTGCCAAGAAACTATTTTTGCAGATTGTTAAAAGCCATCTGTGATGTCTTACTTTCCAAAGAATTTGTCCAAGACTGAGGCAGTATTTGCGTTGCCCTTAGGAGACAAGTGGGCGACATTTATGTCTCAGATATTTTTCCTTTCGACTTTCTGGCCCATTTTCTATTAAGTCAACGAATGAGAAAATATTTTTGCCATGATGTAACAGAGCAAAATCACCAAATGTGTTTGGAATTTAAAGCTATGGAACAATAACGTTGATAGGATGAAGGCAAAAGCACAAATGCTCTTGTCTAAAGATTTCAAGCTCTGAATTTGACTGAACTATACTGCTCCAAAAGCCCAAAAGATAAAAATCATATGATTCCGTCAGATTGCCAGAGTTCTAGAGTGCACTAAAATAAATCACAGCAAAATGAATCAAATATTATAAGGGACCCACGTAAAAAAATATTACAGTAATTCAGAAACTTCCAGTTTTTGCTATCCAGAACCCGGTTTCTTTTCTTACCCCATTCTCTGCTTTCTTATTTTGTAGTATTTCACTTGACCTAGATCATAGCAATAATTACACCAGTAATTACAGCAATTTAACCTTTTTGTTTTCTGCTGGTTAACTAACATTACCCAGTAGTCACAAACTACTGTACATGGGTAATTAGTTGTGTACAAACATACTGTACTTTCCATGTAGTCTTTAATTGCTTCCTCTGGATTTTGTAAAGCGCAAAAAAGAGCACAAATTCACATTTACAGGCCTTCTGGAGATTAAGTACGCTACATCTGGAAATAAAGAAGCAGACCAGCTGTTTGTTTTTGTGGTTCTTTTTATGATTTAATTGGGGAAAAAAAACAAATGTGTTTAAATGTCAGAATCTCCCTGGCTTACAGTTTTAGGTCAATATAGATGCTTCCTTTCTGTTTACCAGATGAATATCAGCAAAGGAACTTCATGTGATGCCTGTAGGCCCAATACAGCATACCATGTCTTGTCACAACACTAACCTTGAACACCAGCATGGAATAGTTGAATGGGTGATTGACCTCTTTCTATTATTATGCATCACCCAACAAGAAAGTAGAAATAGCTATTCAGTGTGATGACACATTTGCTTTCCTTTGATACTGAGATTCAGATGTTCACGTGTTACAGAACACCATCAATTCACATAAAATTTCTTGGTTTGCCTGTGATGAGTACCTGTGAATCCATAACATATTGCATATTGTTATGGTGCCAGCTGAAGAAAGTTCAGGCAGCCAGTGGAAAAAGAAAGGCCTGCTGCTCTGTATTAATAGACCTCATGATTGATGTCTCCACAGCACTACATACTGACCCTGATCTCCGTGGCAGCTCAGATTTACAAACACCCCAGCATCAAGAATTCGGTCAACATGGTGGTGGTCAAGGTGTTGATTGTAGAGGATGAGGAGGTAGGGCCCTCCGTGTCCAGCAATGGAGGCCTGACTCTCCGCAATTTCTGCTCCTGGCAGCGACATTTCAACCCGTCCAGTCAACGGCACCCAGAACACTACGACACAGCCCTCCTCTTCACCAGACAGGTCAGTGTCTCGTCGGCATGAAAACTCCGCTCTAGGCCCACAGTGACAGCAGAGAGGCAACCAGACATCTCTCTGATCCTTTCAGCCATATCCCAAAAGCTTAAGAAAAAGTCACTTGGAGCCGTGTGACGGTTTCGTGACGGTTTCAGTCAGGATTTATTCTAAAGTGGTCTGCGGCCCGTTTTAGCAAGAGAGCCTTTTGGTACACCACAAACTAGCTACTTCATCAGTGGCCACAAAACATGAACCCAGTGTAGGAATGGTGTCACACCACAAGTATGCTAAACCAGGACCTGTGCCCCAGAGAATCTGTAGTAATGGCTAGAAGCTGAAACACACTTTGGACGTTGATAAGCAAAGCATGGTCAATGGCACTTTGGCAGAGGGAAGTGGCCTGCTGTGTTTATCGGTGAGATTAACACCACCCGCCGTCTCAATAAAGCCCAATCCATCATTCAGGATCCCAACCAACCCAGCCACAAACTGTACTCCCAACTGTGCTCTTCCAAGTAGTACCACACTATGAAAGACGGACCACTAGGCTTAAGAACAGCTTCTACCGTACAGCAGTGTACATCCTTAACAGCTAACTATGCAATGCCTCTGCACTACGCACTTTTGCCTACCATGTTTTTTTTTCCACTACCACATATTTATTGTTCTCTACAGCATACTTAACTTTCTGGTTGTTACTATTAAGTACCATTTTGTAATGTACTGTCTGCATGTGTGGTGTCATCTGTCGTACTGTGTCATCGGCTGTACTGTGCACATCCTGGGAGATCGGCACGATGTACATGTACATATGCCAATAAACTCCTCTACCGCTCTGCCTTTAAATCTCTTCTTTTTTTCCTGAAAACATAAGAACAATATAAAGATTCCGAATGAGAGGAGGCCATTCGGCACACTTAGCGCTTTGGGAAGTTAGTTGCAAATTGATCCTACAGGCGTAATCTGAGAATCTTTTGCTTCAGGTGAGGTTAATGTGATATGGTGGTGTTATTGTTGTACCCAGTGGACACTGGTTTCAGGTTCGATCAAAGAAAACCAGCATAAAGAGTGAACATTTGGAGGAACTGAGGGAACCAGTCACCTTCGAAGTTGGGGGGGGGCTCCTCCAAGGCAGTGGCTGAAAGCAGTGGGGTGGGACATCGTCTTGTCACACCGCGCAGTAGCTGTGTCAGCAGGATATGAGTGTATAGGGTCTTTCTTTTGCAAATGGCTATTGTTACAGTCTGAAGAGAACATGAAAATAAGTTCTGATGACAAAGTGAACAAAAGTGAACAAAAATCAAGTACAATGTGCCAATCAAAATCAAGCAGTAGTTAAAGGACAAATTATATGGATGAAGGCAATTATTATACCATGTGGCTAATGATTTTGAGCAAATTAAAGCTGGTGTGAAAGGTCATTTAGTGACTGTAAGTTAGACAAGGGACTTTAAAAGTAAATAAAGTACAAGAACAAAATGCAACAAATGTCTATTCCTACCTTTTTTACATATGTACTGTATTTCTAAGAAGAAAAATGTTAAATTGGACCGAATCAAAAAGAAATGCATTAGAAACTTGTAGAAAATTCTAATAATACTTATTTAGTATAATACGTATTTAAAAAAAAATGAAATTTTCTTGTTGGGTTTTGTCATTTATGAATATGTATTTGTAAATGCTACCGTACATGCATGTAGTCTTGAGAAGAATGTCATTAACTTGGTATAAATTTCAGTATTTAGTGGATCATACGAAGGGCGTTTCCTGTGTGGCTTGCAAATGTTTGTAAAACTTTCTCAGACATACTACAGACTCCCCAGTGTTAATCCTAGATTACAAATCTCTGCCAGGAATATTTGTTTGCTTTGGTACATGAAAGAAATGTAGATACAAAACATGGTTTGCTCTCAAGAGCTAGGTAGAAGAATAAACTGCAGTACCAAAACACTGAAGATGTTTGTGTCTTACCTGTAGCAGGACTGCATTGTTCCAGGTTTCAAACATACAGTATGTGGCCCTTTCTGTCTTGCAGGATATCTGTGGTCACCAAAGCTGTGACACCCTGGGAGTAGCTGATGTAGGAACCATGTGTGATCCAACTAGAAGCTGCTCAGTCATTGAGGACAATGGCCTCCAGGCCGCATTCACTGCTGCCCATGAACTAGGTAGGGCTTCCAGACTTGCTGATAGACTGCCCATTTTCTCTCCCTATAATAATGTCATCACTCAACACATGCTCATTCCTTTGAATACAATTTCCTTTGAAAAAAACCGGAGAGGGTTCACTTTTTTTTATAAACAGAGAAAAGAAAATGTGTTTTAGGATATACGGTAATTTATATAATTGCATTTTTTTTCTTTTCCTTTCCTTTAGCCCCAGAGATATTTCTTTTTATTTGGGAACGAATGTAATTAAACAGCAGCTGTAAAGATTTATTGCTTGTAATCTTTGCTTATTTTCCCTTCAATTTTGCCAATGATTCAACTGCATAAAAGAGCCCTTAAGCCTCACTGTACGAGTCCTAACAAATTTTACTACAGCGGCATTATCACGAAAGCTGCCACAGAAATGTCAAAACTCATGATGGTGCATGAAAGAGGAGGCAGTGATGTTTCCGGGGTCTCCATCAGGCTTTTGCTATTGAGCATATTCAATTCATTTTCTGATGACTTTGCCAAAGAGTCGTCTTTCTTTAGTAGGACATTAACCATTCAGTGCATAAAAAAAACACAAAATGTTTTCCATGAAAGCTTAAGTAAGAAAATGTGGGAGAGAAATGTCCTCTCCCAGCAGTGTACCGCTTTTTATTAGAAAGATTTAACCAAAACTGCAAGAACCTCAGCTAAGAGAAACTCTAAAGAAAAGGCTTCTGAGCAGACAAAGGAAGAAAGACAAACCACCACACTAGGGGAAAGAAAATACAAGCACACTTAAGTTGTCACACATGTCTCTTAGATTTAATATCAAGCCCTGTCCCAGTAAAACATCCCAACATGTTAAAGCACTTAAAAAGGAAATCTGCCCCCGATCATCCAAACAATACTTTTATTGTGTCTTTTTTTCATTCAAGGCCATGTGCTCAGCATGCCACATGATGACTCCAGGAACTGTGAAAGGCTTTTTGGGGACCTAGGGGAGCATCACATCATGGCTCCTGTGTTTATCCACCTGAATAAGACCCTGCCTTGGTCCCCCTGCAGTGCACTCTACATCACAGAGTTCTTTGACAATGGGCACGGTGAGGAAGGACAATCCCATCTCAACTACAGTTGTCCCACAATGCATTCTCCTAACCAATACTGTATGTTTGTGCTGTGTGGCACACAGGTCTTGCCTGCAATCAATATGCGACTGACCCACTGTTAATGTAAACTTCCTTCTCAAACATTATTTTTTCCTGGCAAGAGAGTTAGCTGGTTTCGCTAAGGTTTCCAAAGTAAAATAAATGTACTTGAGCTATGTTTTCTAAGATTATGCATTTCTCTCTCTTACACCAACTTTGACTTGCTCTCCTATACCAACTTTGACTGATTTTGACTTTTTTTTTATTTAAAAATGAAATATTTTCTCCTCAGTGTTTCTTGATTCTGTTGGGAGCGCTGTTATTGACAGGAGTAGTAGCTGTGTATATGATCGTTTCTCGTGTTCAAGCTACTACACTGTTTGTCTAACAGTGAGGAAACCAAAATAACAGTAATAAGCTTAATCTTCAGGGAGCTGACATACTGTACACAAATGGCACCCAAATGCTTCACATAGCCAGCCAGGGGAGAAATGTTCACTTTGTCAGAGTAGGTCAGGCGCAGAAAGATATAATGGCTCATCATACGCACTAGGGTTAAGACTGCTTTGTGGTCATGTGTCTGAAAAGGACACACCCAGAATAAAATAGCTAAAGCAACATTGCTGAATAGCCAAGATTGTTTTTTGTCCCTCACACTGCTGGTCAATATATCAATCTGTCTTCACTTCTAGTGTGTCCTTCCCTTGAGCTGACTTTTGAGAATTCCAGGTATCCCCTCACACTGTGAGAGCAACAATAGTTAAGTTACTCCTCTAAAACAGAAAACAGAAAAGCCATAGGCAACCATAAATGCTGTTCCGCCAGTAGATACTAAATAGTGAAACAGGGTCTTATTAACATGTCAGGCAGAATTTATGATACCCTCTGCCACCATGTCCTGTGTGTCCTTCCCTCATGTTACCCAGCGTTTTGCCCGCGGAGCTCTAAAAGATCGTTCCAATTTCAGGGGACTGCCTGCTGGACGCCCCTGAGAAAGCTATTCCCTTGCCCACCGGCCTCCCTGGGTTGGCTTATGGCCTGGATCGGCAATGCCAGCAGATTTTCGGCGAGGAGTTCATGCACTGTCCCAACACGTCCGAGGCCGACGTCTGTAGCCAGCTCTGGTGCCGGGTCGAGGGCCAGCCGCACTGCACGACCAAAAACGGGAGCCTCCCTTGGGCCGACGGCACGGCCTGCGGCGCAAACAGGTCCTGCCTGGACGGCGAGTGCCGGGAGACGGAGGAGATCCTGAAGCCGAAGGTGAGGCAGCTGATTTATGGATTTCTGCCTGGAATCGCCGCGCAGCAGCTCGGGAAGCTTTAGCCTGGCTTTTTTTTCGCCTTCGGGTTTTGCACACGCTTTTAAACACAAAGAGCCCGAACAACTTTCACAGCGGCGTTGTCCTGTAAGCTGCCACACTGCAGCGCAATCTTTTTTATACCCTTGATACTTCTCAAAAGAAAAAACAGTGATGGGCTTGGAGTCTCCATCAAGCTCTTAGCAGCTTAAAATAATTATGATATTCCGAGGGAATTTGCCAGATACCCAGCTGTCTTTTACTTGGAACATATCCGTGCAGTGCCAAAAAAAACAAACAAACAAGAAAAGTCTCCCACGCAAGCTTAAATAAGAAGTAGGCAACATCTCGGCTACACGGGCAGCCTCAAGTCACAGTTCCGCCCTCAGGTTAAACTCCTGCAGCACCGTGGCGAGAGCGTGTGCTAACTGTGAAGCTGATGTAAAATATAACAGATTTTGCAAGACGTGACACACAGTCAAGGAATGCACCAGAGCCCGAGCAGGAGCAAGTCCAAAACAAATCCACCCAAGTTAGAGCAAGCCGCAGGAGTATAACTCGATTAAGCCCATTAATATAACACGATATAATATAATATAAGGTGGCACATTGGCACAGTGGTTAGCATTTCTGCCTCAGTGTGTCGTTCTGCTTTGATGAATGATGCACTGGCATCCTGTCCAGGGTGTACCCTACCTTGTACCCGTTACTTGTCAGAGCGGTCTCCCGCGGATGAAACGGACACACACCGATGTTTTGAACAAGAAATCAGCAGCACATGAAAACGCACCCAATTCCACCTGCCTGTGTCTAAATGCCAACACCTCTTGCTCATTCCCTCGCCTTTTTTCTTCTTTGCAGCCCTGCCCTGACCTCAACTTCACCCTTGCAGCCATTCTCTGCTTCCTCCTTCTTTTAAAACTCGGGGCCAGATTCGCCCTGTCCGTACGGATGAGCTGTCGTTCCCCTCAGCCAATTGTGTTACCCCATTAAAACTCACTGTTCGAATCTCGCCTCTTAATTAGGGATGACTGAAAATACTGAAATTGTTTATTCAGTTATTGTCCCTCCTTGCGTCCCGCAGGCTGCTGTCGATGGAAACTGGGGGGCATGGGGACCGTGGGGGCAGTGCTCCAGGACTTGTGGAGGGGGAGTGGAGTTCTCCTACAGAGAGTGTACAGACCCCGAGCCCCAACATGGGGGAAAGTACTGCGAAGGACAAAGAGTCAAGTACCAGTCCTGCAATATCCAGCCCTGCGAGGACAACAACGGTAATCCGCAGCTACCTCTGTAACAGTACGGGGTTTTCGTCAAAGGGCAGCGGTATGGTTTGGTCTCTGAACACAAAACTGGAAGGTTGTGAGTTAGTGTCCCAGGTGGGGCATTGCTATGTCCCCTGGTGCAAGGCTCCTCACTGAAATTGCCCCAGTTTGTCACTGTTAATGTGAATTTGTTCTCATTTTATACTGTATATCATGAACAGTTACATGGCAATATAAAGCAATGAGCTTTAACGTACAGTGTCCAGGCAGAATAAGACTAGATCCCATGAGTGACAGTTCACAACACAAGGTTTTTCTCTGGGCAAATTCAAGTTAGATGTAGTTTTCTCATTAGCTTTCTCACGTAGGCTTTAACAGAGCGGGTGATTTTGTTTCAGAATATACCTATACATGTAATGACCAAACCCTACCAGGAGGGTAAATTGAGACATGAATGACGTTTCTTGAGTAACCTGTCAGACATAATCTATCTTGCTTGCTGGCCAGCAGCCCAAACAGGTATCTTCATTAAATTCTGCCAGGTCATACAAACAGTTGTCTGTGAAATCACTCCTTGTGTTACTCCAAATTTGTTAACTCAGTGAGGTAGGGTTTGTGATATGCGGTACTGGAAAGTTCTCACGTTTTTTATGAGAATTCTGTACTGGTCAGTTTCAAAATAGAGAAAGGATATTGTGAAAAGAGATATACCACTATAATATGAGCATGTTTCAAAGGGAATGACATTTAGAAGGTCAGTCTTCAGCACAATGCTCACAAACACAACATCCTTTTGTGTTAAAACTAAAAAGCTGTCTTTGCCAAAGAAGGCCGACAGAGAAGCACAATATTTCTTCAAAAAAAATGTCCTACTTAGGGGTACAAATTCAGGCCACTTTGGAAGAAGCATAGGCCACATACTGTAAATGAGTGATGAATTAAATAAGAATAGTGTTCCCTTAGTGCCCTGTGAAAAGCTATCCTGTCTGTTGTTTCAGGAAAGAGCTTCAGAGAGGAGCAGTGTGAGAAATACAACAGCTTCAATTACGTTGACATTCATGGAAATGTCAAACAGTGGATCCCAAAATATGCTGGGGTGTCGCCCAGGGACAGGTGCAAACTGTTTTGCAGAGCGAGAGGCAGCAGTGAATTCAAAGTGTTTGAAGCCAAGGTACAGCCTTCTCAAATGAACACGAAAAAGAATATAATAAAATCAGTGAGTGCTGATCAACTTACTTACATGTACTGTCGATCACAGGCTGCACAGATGTCAGGCCTACTAGCAGAAATTTTGAAATTAGAAAAGCAGATCAGAAACAGTCTTAAACCCATTGTTTCATAGCAGAAATTTAATATCATGCATGGATATTTATGCTTTTTAAAATATGAACCAATTGCTTAATTGTCTCTAGGGAAATATGTTTGTAACAATTGTATGTCAGTTTCATTTAGGATCAGGAATAGCTTAGTCAGTGCACCACATTGAGTGACTTCTTCTTATATCTCATATATTAACTTGTATGTTATAGAATAATATTCATATGAAATGACTGTCATAAAACTACATACAGTATAGCAGTTAATCAGCTTTAAGAGTGGCTGCTGTTGTGGTTCTGTCATGAGTGATTCGGGCACTGATCTGGAGTTATTCCCTCTGCAGGTGATTGATGGCACGCCCTGTGGTCCCGACACCACATCTATCTGTGTCCAAGGGCAGTGCATCAAGGCAGGATGTGATCAAGTGATTGGATCTAACAAGAAACTGGACAAGTGTGGAATGTGTGGTGGGAATGGCTCTAGCTGCAGGAAAATCACTGGCTCCTTGAATAAGGCTGTGTAAGTGTGGAATGGATTTCCTTGGACATTGTTTACAAGTGCATTACTGCTTCTCATGGTCCAACCTGTACAACAGAGCGTCTCAATGAAAGTCATACTACATCAGATGACACCACTGTGCACACAGGCATTTCGTCACCGCAACCTTTTCCCAACTACACATCCACAGAGAAAGTTAGGAATTCATGAGGAAAAGCCCCCACTTCCGCTCCTCATGATGAGCGTAGTGAACCAGTTTACCAGCACGTCTCGCGTCTCAACCAGAGCGCCCAGAGACAGTTTGCTTGAACACAGGGGAAGAGCAACTCCACACAGAAGAACCGACCCCAGTTCTGCCCACTCTCAAATTGTCGGAAAGGACTTGGATTATCGCCGTGCTTGCTGCGACCCAGGTTCATTTTCCGTCCTTTCTTCCAGGTATGGATACAACGACATCGTGACAATCCCGGCTGGAGCCACCAATATCGACGTCAAACAGCGGAGCCACAGAGGGATCAAGCACGACGGGAATTATCTGGCCGTGAGAGCCGAGGAAGGGGAGTACATCCTGAATGGCAACTTCTCGGTGTCCACGGTGGAGCAGGACATACCGGTCAGTGGGGCGGTGCTCAGGTACAGTGGCTCCTCCACCACTCTGGAGCGCCTGCAGAGCTTCCACAGGCTCCGAGAGCCCATCACCGTGCAGCTCCTGGCCACCGCCGGGGAGGTGTCCCCTCCCAAGGTCAAGTACACCTTCTTCATCCCCAAGGACGTCTCCTTCACCAAAGTGAAAGGGAAGAAGGCCTCCCCGCATGTCATCCAGCCCATCGGGATGTCCCAGTGGAGCCTGGGGGAGTGGTCAGAATGCTCGAAGACCTGCGGCTCGGGCTGGTCGAGGAGGAACGTGGACTGCCGGGACGGTCACGGGCAGCTCTCGGGCCTTTGCGACGGCGATCTCAAGCCGGCGGACATCAGGCCCTGCGGCGACATCCCCTGCCCCATCTGGCAGATGGGCCCCTGGTCCTCCTGCTCGCGAACTTGTGGCCAGGGAGAGCGCCGGCGCAGCATTTTCTGCATTGACTACGCGGGGAAAACAGTGGAGCCCGAGAACTGTGACCTGGCGAAGCAGCCCAATCCAGTGTCGGGCGAATGCTTCTATCAGGAGTGCTGAGGCAGGGACGAAGGGAAGGAAGGAAGGAAAGCAAAAAGAAAAGAAGAAGGCGATAGAATAGAGAACTACTAACGACCCCTGACCGTGCTTCTGAAAAAAGCAGGGAAATTTCATAGGTGGAAACTGAAAAAGTGCACTAACTGACCTGAGCGGGTCTGGTTTTGGCCTGTTTGAAAGACTAACTTGACTTTTTTTTTCTTGTTTTCATTGTTTGTTGCTTTTGTTTCTGTTGGTTTTTTTTATAACCACTATTGAAGTTTTTACCCAATAGAAATCTACCTCAGAGGTTGTAAAATTGTTGCCTTCTATATATTAGATGAAGATACTGTATTCATATTACTGTTTCAGCAAAGGAAAGACACCTTTGTGTGAGACCAGACACCATTGGACTGTAAAATACCTCCACACACCCATCAGAAAGCTCTGCAGTTTAGGCTAAAGACTGAATTGCACATGGATTTTGAGTTCTGTAAAATTGCTTTTAACAGCTGGACCATTCCTGGTGTTTCCAAAGTTACCTTGTGAAAATATCGTTGCACGAAACTGTCACTTCCTTCAGCTGCAAGAGATTGATCTGTAATGCTAATTTCTATGTAGTATGGTTTGAAAGAAAGCAAGAAAAGATACCCTCCATTTATTTAAAGCTGTAATTCTTGAGCTATCTAAATGCTGTGAATTATTATCTCCTTAGAAGCTTTCAGAAATGCGGTATTGATGCAACTTTCAAACATTCAATCACAATTTAATTTTTTTAGCTTATTAAACCATTTTCTATTTTCTGTAGATGCAAAATTAGACTTAATATCCTCATAATGCACAGCTGTATCAGCTGCACAATTTAGAACTATGTAATTCTGCAAAAGGGCTTATGTTGATATTGGCACTTTTTTAAGCTCTTAAATCAGCCGCATAAGAAGCATGTTACTGCACTTGGTAAGTAAAAGTAAATGGTTCTTTTCCCGTGAAATATGATGCAAATCACTTCCCTTAAAAATAACATTTAATTGGCACCACCATCTCACAGATCTGGAGTAACCAACCAGACGGTACATTTTGAGTGGATACACACTCTGTTTTGTTGTTTTCCACCCAAAACATACAGTATCAGAAAAATACACCTGAATATTAAATGACAGTGTAAACGTATGGCGTGCTACAACATACATAATCCTTTATGGAACCAAGTTCATTAAAATAACTTTAATAATAAGTTCATTCTCATTAATAATCCTTTAACGGGTAATACACTTTAATATGGATTCAACGTGTTTTTGCTTCCATCTGGAATATAAGAGATTTGTACCTAACCAGTTGATCCTGAATGATTGCATTGACGTTGCAGGTCTTTAATACTGTAGCGCATTCGCCTGGCGCTGCTGCAGAAGAGATTACAATACAAACTAGTACTGTTTATGGTAATGGGGCATATAACACCGGTAAGCCCATTACTTTAAGGTATGCCTATTACTTTGTAGCTGCTATGTAATTGTTCTACCCTGCTAGCAAAAACAAAATGCCTTTTTGGTTCCTACATACACGTGATCTTGGAATTGCAATTTTTAATTTATTTTTCCATGAATTTATTTCTTTTTATTTTGAGCTTTTGGAGAACCCATCTATGTTTTTCTCTCCGCCCCCATTGTGTCCCTGTGGATAAACTTGATGTTTGCAAACCTAAAACACACCTGCATTCTCTCACCTAACAAACCAGCCAGCATTGTGAATCCTGACATTTTAACATGGTAGTGAACGTGCCTATGAAACGTGCAGCATTGTGTGAACTTTTGTCATCATTTATAGGCAACAGACAAAACAAAATGTTAAGCTTGTCATATTTACAACCTAGGCACTGTTGCAAAATTTTCAGTGTGTGTGGAAAATCATTAGTAATAGTCTTTGATTATCAATTTTCGTAGTGAATCAGGAAACTGATTTGTATGCATTTAATGTTGATTTTTACTGCATTAGTCTAGGATTATTTACACTTATGAAGTGTAAAAGTTCCAGTAACTTAGAGAATGACTTGCTCCTTACAGTATCTGTCAGGAGTCTGATCTAATTCAACCCAGTGGAACAGGGTCGGTGAATTATTTCACCTTTTCATCTGTTTGGTAGAAACTACTAACCCATTGCATTAGTGTATTTAAAGGTTATTCTTACGATTAGAAGAAAACTGCAAAAGATGAGGGTAAAGTTTCATTAAATAGCTACCAAAGACCTTTAGCGCAATTTAAAGACAGGTATGTGTCTACACTGTGATAGGTTCCTGAGGACCCTATCCTCCCAAATATTGAAGGTAATGTATTGCTACTTTAATTGGATGTATTAATTATTTACTAATATATTTGGCTGATTTATCCAAAGTGAATTCAATTTGCGTCCGTTAATAAAGCTGGGTATTTGACTGGAGGTACTTTGTGAGGTATCTTGCTCATAACAACAGAGTCTCACTTGGGATTTGAACCCACGACCTTCCAGTTACAAAAGCCTTAACCACTGATCTCGTCCTTAGACTTGACAGTAGGATCTGCTTAAGACAGGGAAGATGTTAACTACACAGCCCCGCTCTTTAAATTACATGCTTTTGTTTGTTCAGAGAATTCTGTTAAATTGTGTGATGTGGCATTCCGGAAGTGAACATAACATTAAGGCATTATTTCCCTTCAGTGAAGGACCTTATTATTTTATTATTGCAGCTTCCTTTTAAAGCTATTTATTTTTGTACAGTTTCTACATTTTGACATCGATGTATAACAGTATGGGTTTTTTTTTTAGATGCTGCTGTCTTCCAGAATAATAAATAGTTGAATAAATAAATAAAGATGCCTTGATGACCTAAACTGCTCTGTTGTGGCACTTCGTTGTGGTTTCTGCAAGCTTGAGTAGAAATGTGACAGGAAATGAGGTTATTCATAAAGGAACTATCAAGGAATAAGCTAAACCTTCTGGTTCTGTTGTTCTTCCTGAATCATTTCTACCTGTAGCCTTTTCTATCTTTTAAATTATACCATAGAAGAAAAAATGCAGAATGCCTTAGGTAATAACTGTATACAGAATTCCTCTTATAATGACCTACAGTATATACTTTTTGCACCATACAACTGTTACAGCAAACCTTTTTCTATTTAATTGCATAGACTAACTGCACAGAATTAGATTATAAAACTTTAGTGTATTACTTTAGTATAATACTCCTGATAAGCTTTTAGAAAGACTTCTACGGTAATAACAGACTATATATTCTTCACTTTAAAATAACATCAAGTTTAAGATGGTGTCCACTACACAAGAGCACTGTGCAAAAACTGCCGGCATTTTAGTGAATGTTCAATACGTTTACTTTTAAGGAATTTGGAAGATTATGCAGCCATAGCATAACATGTACTAGGGGATCAATAAACCAACGTATAGGGTAATTTAGACCAATCATTAGCCAAGCAAAAGAAAAATGCCAACAATAGAGGGGTTTTCTTGTATTAAGATGCCTGATGCCTACACATCCTCAGCAGTTATGGCGGAAGATGGGTCATTCACGTTTTGCCCGGCCCGAAGCAGCAAATTCAATGCTATGGAGTCGATTTAATCACAACAATCCTATGGAATACCTGTTTTGAAAGATTTATTTCTAAACCAAGTACCACAAAAAGAAAGCCTTCTTCAGTACTGGTTTCTCAGTCAAGAAGCAACACTCTGAAACCACAGAGGAAGATTTGAAGATCTGCCAGACCACAGATTTGTCCTCTCTCCTACGTTTTATATTGAACAAACTAACACCCCAAGTCGGACGCTGGATGTCAGATCTGGAGCATGGCTATGTGGAGAGGAGAGGTAGGAACTGAGTTACCTGATTAGAGAGACTCTCTGCTTCTTGATAGCATATTTGCCAAGAGTATTTTTCCCTTTTAATTAGGTGGGCGAGTCCAGTACTTTGTTTTTTCTGTATTAAGTGTTGTCCATTACTTCATATGAACGTGAGGGCTAAACCAGCCATACTGCAGTGCCAAATGGGAGAGACGTTCTTGGGGTTTTTTACTTTTCTTTTTTAATTAATAGTACAAAATAATGGTGGTAGTCCTGGTATCAATTCACATAATCAGTTCAGTGCTGTGCAGACCTTCTCCAGCCTCTTTTAATGATCAAAAGTATTATCTGACAGAGGATTCCAAACTCCTGTCACTACCAACAATAACAACACAAATGAGGGAGCTCAGCTGTGCCTGGAAATTTACGGCTAATTGTACCAGTTATATGAGAACTTAACAATAAAACTTACTTTCTTTAATTTTCCTCTGCCGTGTCCAAATCTTCTCTCCTTTGGCTGAAATCTAAACTCTACTCTTGTACCAATTTTATTTCATACATAGTTTATTAATTACATAGACCACCAGGAGGCATGACGCAAGAGATTCAAAGTGAATATAAACTTTTGGAATTGAAACATTCTTGTTTTAAGCAGTGTGTTGATGAGTCTGAACAATCTGCACTGTGTCTGTGTTGGCCTCGTGCTGAAACGTTTTAGACCCCTCGCAGTGTATGTAAACTAAATTGAAGCCTGGTTATTATTCTTCAAGGAGCAATCATCTGAAACGCTTGAGTTCACATAGTTGAAAATCTTGTTGACAAGATTATGATGTGGGAAAGTTTTTTTTTTCTTTATTCTTCCAAACAAGTATAAATCGAAGAAAATGATATCTTACAGTTGAACTCATGCGTGTTCTTTACTTTTTAATTTATAGGTTATTATAAGCATTTTGACTTTTCTTTTTCCCTTTTATATACTTTGAACTAGTTCATACATGTTTATTTATTCAGTCTGCAACTGAACATCTTTCAAAAGACCACTGGAACAAGAGTATGCTTTCATTTGGTGAAATATTATGGAAGGTCCTTTATACTGTAGGTAATATATTTCAATACCAGTTTCTCCGTTGTGGAATGGAAAGCAGAAGAATTAACAAAATTGTTGTTACAAGTTACTGTACTTATGCAAAACAAAAAACGTTTCTCTGGGAGTCTGGGGGTATAAAGTCATTCCACCTTTTTTGGACATCATCAGCATGTCAACTATTAAGTGCTGCTTTAGGGTGTTGTATGCAGGTAGCAAAAACATAGGCTATAAATACAAAACGGGAACCACTGAGATTTAAAAGAAGCTACTTATGTAAACACTTAAGTGTGTATATTCACACATCATTTACTTCTTATAGACAATTTGGGGAAGCAAAATGTTAGGATATGTAGTTAAAAGTGTAAAATTAAAATTAAAATACACTGGCACCAGCCTAAAGTGTTATACTGCATTTAGCCTCAGTGTAGGACATTCCTTTCAGCCATAGAAAGTATCTTGATGCTGTTATAAAGACCGGTTTTGCAATATCTTCACTATAATGTAGTGACTAATATTTTCTACTCATTTTACACACTGAGGTCTTACTAGTGCAATTTTAACAGGACCAAGGGGTCTTCCAGCACAAGAGTTAAAAACCTTTGCTCCAACCCACACTGACATTATAATCTTATGACAAAATACATCTTATGGGTTTTTTAACAAATGCATCATTATGGTTATCATAGGCCACTACATAACAATGCTTTTTTGTGTTGTATCTGATAAGTCTGAATTGGGCTTACCTGTATATATGGTAGCTATTTTTTTAGTTACAATATGGAATCATAATACATTTAATTTGTATGGTATTTGTGCCATTGATCAACACAAAACTGATGTAATAAAAACGGATTCACTCCCCTCGAGTCAATATTTGACGGCAATTCCAGTCATGAGTCTTTTTGGCTAAGTCTCTGCTAGCTGTGCCCATCTGGACACTTGCAATGTTTGCCCATTCTTCTTTTCAGAATTGCTCAAGCTCCTTCAGGTTGGGTGGGGACTGTTGAGGAACAGCAATTTTCACAGATTCTCGACTGGATTGAGGTCTGGGCTATGACTCGGCCACTCCAGAATATTTTTTTTAACCTACTCAGTCTGGCTTTGGCTGTATTTTTTGAAACATTGTTCTGTTGGAAGGTGAATCTTCTGCCAAGTCCCAAGTTTCTTGCAGCAGGTTTTCCTCCAGGAATTCTCTGTGCTTTGCTGCATCCTTTTTCCCTTCTATCTTCACAGGTCTCCCAGACCCCGATCCATCCCTGCAGCATGACACTGCCGCCACCCTGATTCACAGTAGGGAGGGTTTTTGCAGGATGATGTCCAGTGGACACCAAGTGTTATAACTTATCGTTGAGGCCAAAATGGTTTGTTCTCGTCTCATCACACCGTAGAACCTTCATCTGCTTCGTCTTAAGAGTGTCCCATAAGCCTTCTGGCAAATTGTAGTTGAGATTTGATGGGAGGTTACAGCAATGGCTTTCATTTTGTCACTCTCCCACGTAGCATCAAGGAAAGTGTTGTATGCACGGTTCGTCTCATCTCAGCCCACAAAGACTAATTCATTTGGAGTTGTCACAGGCCTCTTGATGCCCTCCCTGACATTCAATTGCCTTAGGAATTTTCTTTTCCCCTTCCCCCTTTGTTGCTTTTCAATAACCTTATCCTGTATTTGCTTTGAATGTTCCTTTGTGTTCATTATGTCATTTTTCTTGGGCACTGTACTAATCAACTGTGGGACCTCTCAGAGTTTGGTGTGTTTAACCTGAACTCATGTGAAACACCTTAATAGCACACAGGGGGACTTCATTTAACTGATTATGTGAATTAAAAAGATAACTGGTTGCATCAGAGCACCAGATTCTATTTAGGTGCGTCATAACAAAGGGGGGTGAATACATATTCAATCAGTTATTTTCTGATTTATATTTATCATTACTTCATGAGGATCTGTAGAATTTAGTTTTCACTTGGAGTGTTTTGTGTCAATCAATGGCAAAAATTCCAAAGAAGAAAGAGGATCATTCCATATTGTACCACAACAAATTGTGGAAAGTAACTACGTATGAAATCCATATAAAATCGCTTATGTAAAAAAAGGTCAAATGCATGCTTTCAAACTTTACATTTATGCGAACTTGAAAACTCATGGTAATGTGCAAAGCTAGGATGCCTTCAATAAGAAGGTCTAAAAAAGTAAATTACAGTATAACTTTGTTTGGTATTGGTCATTTTTGCTGAATGTAAAATTTAACTTCTAAATGTGCATTTTAATTGTAAACAACATTGTCTTGAAAGAAAGCAACAGCTCCTTAAGAACATCTATTACGAATGTAAAAGATCTGCTTATTTGTAATAAATGCTACATTTGTCATTTGCAACCTTCAGGCAACTGTTTTACATCTCTTTAAGCAGTATCGATTAGTATGTTTTTCTCTCTGAAACGTTAGCAAAGCGTTTTAACTGAGCTAATGAAAAGAAATATGAAATAACTTGAAAATACCATTGCAAATGCTATTATTGTAACAATATTGCATGGCATATACAACTGATTCTGTGGATGCACGTTTGATGGTTAATACAGTGATTTAAGTAGGTCAATCAAAATATGCTTCTGGATAGCAAGCGTGGCAGCTGGGGTTTATTGAAGTTCTTATTTACTGTGCAATATGTAGTTCTATGTTAACGGATGCTACAGTGCACCCAATATTCAGCACACAAGCACTATTCCCCCAGGTTAATGGGAACTCATAGGCGAAGACACAAGAGCACGTTTAGTTTTATATCTCATTTTCGTAGAACTGTGGCGCTGAAACTTGAGCAGAAAGCCCAACTTCTCTCCTCCTGGTATTGCTGCTGTGGTGATACTGGAGAAGAGCGCGCGCGGGGCATTGTGGGACGAAAATAAAGTGCAAAAAAAAATTCCGCAGAGGGGACAAAGAAGCAAAGACGGAGCGTAAAGGTCTACAGTAAACTTTCAAACATCGCGTGTTGCAGAATAATATTACTTCAGGCACAAGGCAGTGCTTGCAGGCCGGGGGTCCGTAACTCGAATAATGCGGTGATTGCAAAAAGATTCGTCGGAGAAATGGGTGTTTAATCTTGAGAGGAAAGCAGCCTGTAGCATCCGAGCTGCGAGCCCGCCTGCGTTGTGTTTATCCCGGCCTTACACGACACCGCCAGCCCGAGGCTTCCAGCGGAACGGCAGGCCGGATCGCTCGGCTCTCTGTTGCGCAAGGTAACGTCCCCAGAGCTCGACTCCTTTCTTGCATCGGAAAGCGGCCGGGTTTCAAAGCCCAGGGCAACAAGCGGATTTATCTGAGCGCCTCGGCAGACGAAAATCGAGGCGTGCACAAGCTGTCGTTACCTGTCGGTATATGTTACCGGTTGCAAACTGCAGCAATCTATATCGCCGCGGTTGTTTTGCAGTTGATGGGCAGACTACCTGGGTTTGGTCGAGAAATCTGACATTGCTCGTTTTTACAGTACAGGCGGAGTGGTGGTGGTGGTCGTGGGGGGTGGGTATACGTTCTCGCCCCCCAGACAAGGGTTTCTATTTGAAAAGCTACACAAGCAGAACTTGCCATTTATCCTGCCCTGTGAGCAGATGCTATTCCGTTGCAAGTTTAAGGGGATGTGGAAGCGAGCCGCATGTTGCAAAGTGCATTGTAAACAAGGTGAGATAGTGCCTTTCATGCCCCGCCCCCTCGAAAACGTCAGGTCGCCCATTGAAACCAGCATGAAGCGACCAGATATTGTAACGCGATATTGGTCGCTGCCGGACTGCCGATGTGCATTCCTGGCGTTTTAGAAGCTTCCGATCAGATAGGGAGTTTGGGATGATGCGCTCCGATCTTGGATTGCGCTGGGCTCTGCTTCTTGAAAGTTGCGCCTTTGGCCGTGTAACTGATGTGGCTGAGTTCACTGTACTTGGGGTGGGTTCGGTCAGAGATACAGGTGGAGAATAACGCTGATGTTCCGGCTTCACGGCTTGGTACTTCATGGTGCCTCCAGATGTTAACTCTTCCAGGCACATGTCAGTATAGATAACTGTAATTGTGCAGCGCCCCGTAATTACTGGTTCCTATTAATGTGGGAATTGGGCATTGATGATTGAGAGCGACTGGTTGCATTGCGATCTCAGTTGTTTTCGTGGTGTGCAGGTGTATCAATTAGGAATTTAAATGCAATGTCTATACAGTGGATTGTTTTTACTCTTGTGAATGAAATTCTTTTCCCCTTTAGAACAATCTTGTGTCGTTTCTCCTGGCTCACTTTTGTTGCCTCCTCTGTATTGCAACGTTTTGTTTTTTTATTAAAAGGACAGCAGTTGAAAGACTGAAAGTAGGATGGAATTTCACATTTGTATACCTTCCGAAGAATGGACCTTTGTCGGATCAAAGCCCAGCAAGACTCAGCTTGTACCAAAGTTTTTTTTTTAAAGCTTTTAGCTCACTGTTGGCATCTCTCTTCCCCAGGCTGGTGAAATGTCTGCAGTTTCTAACTTACTTAAACCATTACATTTCTTACACGAATGAAACAGTTATAATGAAGAATGCTAGGCTTACACAAGATCCCCCCCCCCCCCAAAAAAAGGTGGAGATTTCCCAAATATAACTCCTTTGCATTTAAAAGTTGGTTACTATTCTTGTCTCCGCATACTGTCTCTCCCGTAGTTTTTTCAGTCCCGGGTATTGTAGTAAAATGAAATATTATGCACCACAGAAGCTTTAAGGTACTGTTTCTTAAAAGGAAGACTATGCCCAAGTGTTAACAAATAAAATAAATGGAAGTGCCTTTATGAGAAAGAACTCTATTATTGAGTTAAGTTCTTCAGTTGAAAGGTCCTCGAAAACTAGGCTTTGTTTTACTGAGTAGTCATTTAAGTGATTTAAGATTGACATTTCTGAACTGACGCTTCCTTCTTCAAAGGTAAAATGTTTTGTAAATGGCATTTAAAAGCATAAACTGCACAGAAAAAAAAACTACAACTTGACATTTTTGGCGACTCAAAAGACTACAACCTGTCTCATGTTCCTTAATGCAGTGAGTTGGAGGGTGATGTACTGCTGTATGGGGCAGCGTTTGTCATGTGCAAAATGAACATATCGTCTGGAGTTGTAAATTGTAAGAAGAAGAATTCTCTTCAAAGGGCATTTGGTTTTTGGAGGGTGCACAGAATTTCGATGGTTTCCATCTTCGATATGTTACCTTAATTTGAAATGCCTTCTAAAACCAAAGTTATAGCTTCCATGGTAAGTATTTCATTAGAACAGCCCTGTTTTCTGCTGGCTTTTGCATCAGCTTTGAAGGACACAGGTGAGTGAGCCGGACAGCAGTAATTCATTGAGTGCAAAGATGCTGAATTATTGCCCATTTGTTTCATGCTTGTACTTCAAGATTATGAGCCTTAGAGATCAGAGTCTTAAGAAGTACTTTACCAGTGTAAGAAACCTAAGGAAAGCTGTAACGGATTTATGACCGCTGGAGCCTGGGTCTGTATATACTCCCTAGCGCAAATTTATTCTCCTGACGTTATCAGTAGTTCTGTTTCTGAGGTAGTAAGAAACAGGATGGCTCTTTGAAAGGCAGACAAATGCTCCTGTACAGTCTTCTCTTTTTTCTTTAAACCACTGAAGAAGAGGACATAGAGACTGAATGGTTTCTTCATCCTAACGTACCAATTGTGCGAGTGTGTGCACAAAAAAAGGAAACAAGGTGAAATTTCTTTCATTTTGCATTTACAGAGGCCTGCTTCTTCCCTTGTACTGTAGTACAGTTGATTTGTTTATGCTGTAATCAGATGTACTTCGAACGGCAACTTTTGAAACAGACGGGATAGATAATTTCTCACTGAAAAATAAGGCGACCCTCCTAAAGCCCTTTTGATTCTTGGTGAAAGTTCTGCCTGTTACTCAGAATGGACTCTGGGTGTCCCAGGAGTCTGGGGATATATCATTCTGCTGGATTTAATCTGACTGTCTGAGACATGACAAAATAGATAGCATAAAGCGCTGTGTGTTTTTCTATGGAAGGTTATGTGGGCAGACAGCTGCGAGACTGAGCGGGCTGTCAGCAGGGAAGAAAAGTTTTAGAAAGAAGGAATTTGTGGTCCGACTCGGAGAGAATCACCTTGCTTGTCGTTCGTTCACTCCGATCATAAGTATTTCACAGACACCGCTTCATAACATGGTTAGGCTTTTACAGAGGATCACAGTGTGTACTCTGGATTCAAGAAGCTCCGTGACTAAAGTTCAACGCACATTGAAATTATTATTTTTTTAAATTTAGAATCATCAGTTATTTTACATTCACCCAATTTTAGAATTGGCAGTTGTGTGTTTATTCTCCTTGCAGCATGTCCCAGGCAACACAGCCCTGTCCTAGGGGTTAAGTGCCAGTTGGAGAGGAGACGTGTTTCTTACTGATAGCACTTCAAGTGCCCAGAAGACCACAGGGGTCTCTGTGTAAACTGAGAGATCCCAGGCCATTTATGAGCTCCCTGTCTCCTGGCCAGTTGTGTTCTGCTGGTGGGCAAATCCCAGTCACACTCCACTGGTGACCTCATCCAGACTGGAACCCGCGATTCCTGGATCTTAGACGTCCACCTGCACCCATCTCAACGTTACTGGTTAAGCCACTCGGAAGGCCCCAGCACGTTTAATTTTTCTCTTCAGTAACATGCCAAAAATGCCACTAAATTCCAAATACAACCTCCTTGGAAACAGATTTTTCCCATTTGTAAAATGTATTAATCTTGTGTCTGTTAATGACATGCCAGTGGATGAGGTAAGTGGTTCCAAGTACTGGCTCAGCAGACAATGTTACCTCCTATCTTTGATTACTGAATGGAATAGGGGATGACATGAATGCTTTGGCAGCCAAACACAAGGTCTGAATTTATACTTTGTATGTGTCATGTTCATTTTTTTTTTTCACCAAAAGTCAATCTATGGCAAACTCCATTGTTCGCGGATCAGTAAGCAATTACAGTAAGCGCCACTGATTTTAAACAAAAGGTCCCGTTTATTTGCATTTTCTATGTGATTAAACTGCTGCATAGCAATAGCCATTCCTTTCAGAAAAGGGGTCAAATAAGGACACTTTTTCAACTTGCATTTTATGGCCTGTATCTTTGGTTGAGTGTTACGATGGGCTTTGTCTGTATTCTTTTGTTTTGCCCTCAAGATAGAAGTCGGAAACGTATAGACAAACTGTGGTTCATAAAACAGTTGAAAACGAATATATTTTCAGGATCTGTTTCTTCTTTTCTCCTGCTGCAAACTTAAAGCATTGGTCCAGACAAAAGCATTGCAGTTAACTTCAAACTGACTGGAACAGGTCGCTGTAATGCTTAAACTAGACTTAATTCTGAAATAACGTTAGTATCATCAGTGTCGTAGTGTGAGTTTTTTGTCTTCACTACCTTGATTTGTGGGAGTAGTCAAGGTGCACTTTACAGCTGCAGAAGGAGGAAGTTGTTTGGCCGGCCAGTGCTTTCCTGCTTGGATTGGCAAATTCTTTTGATTTGTGTATATATGAAAGAGCGTGTCATTTTCAAAGAATTTGGTTTGGCTTTTGTTTCCCACTGCCATGGAAAGTTGGTAACTAGACAAATATTCTTTTCATATTATCAGGTTGATTTTCATTCGCTAACAAAGACGTGATCTCTGTATCAAAATAAGTTATCTTATCCCAGTTTTGTTGAGGATTTATGCATATGTGTCATTCTCACAATACCTGCTTTTTAATTTATGTTCTCTTTATGTCACTTTGGACATTTTACTTTGTTTTTGTTTCGGTTGGTTAGCTCCTTAATTTAGCCCTTCTTTTAGAGCACTGTTTTAATCAAACCTAACTTGGTCATTAATAGCTACAGCTTTATTGTTGCTGTACAAATTGTGAGGCTTTTCCAGGAACCGGTTTTTAATACGTTCAAAGCACGTTAACTTTTCTTTCAGAAAAATGTAACCATCAGTCCCAGATAGTATTGTTTTGTTCTGAAGGTGATAATAGTTGAAATTATTTCAAACAGGAGGAAAATGTGCAGGAAGCCTATTAAATCCTATTAAATCTTGTTTTTGTTCAGTGCAGTAGTTTTGAAAGACACTAAGAATTAGTAAAATGTTGCTTACAAAATCAGATACACAGCATAGCTGATTTCAAATAACATAAAATATCTTAATGACTGTGTTATTGTTTCAATTGAATATATAAGAGAAGGTATCTTCAAGACAGTCAGGACACAAAAATGTTACTTTTAACATGGGCTTTGGAATAATATTATCTGAATAGAAATGATTCAGAATGCAGGTTTTTTTGCTGTTTGAATTGACAGTATTTTATTCTAATCAAAAACGTAGCCAAATCAGATAGAGTGCAAATCTGTTTGTGACTTAGATCAAATGAACATCCCTAAAGTGAGCCCCTTCAGAAGAGCATTGATGTGATGGAAAATCTCATGCCTCAGAGAAGACATATGCCTGATAGAGCAGATGTAGTGCGTCCTGTAGTGGACTCCACATGAATTTGGCACCCAGAGCGATGCATCTGCTTTGATTATTCTTATGTAACGTGGCACTGCTTCCAGCTCTTCCCTTAGCTTTTTTTCTGCGGTATTTGCATTTTGTGTTAGGGGTGTGGGGGGGGGGGGATTCAGATATCTAGTTTAATCAAAACCTTTGTCTCTTTCCACCCCTCAGAAGATAAGTCTTCATGTCTTGACATTCAGGAACAAATCGGCAGATGTCTTTCTTGGGTAATGTTAGTGATTATTTTTAAGTCTCAGGCGCATCTGCCTTTCCTTTTTTGGCCTACCTTTTTGTTGTTTACTCAGTAACTGATGGCCCCGTGGACTACTATTTGAAGCCTACGGTTTTGTGTTGAAACTCCCATTGAATAAGATACTGAACCTCAATGTCTTCTGTCCACCCAGCTAGATAAATGGGTGTAGCAGTCTTGAATCTTAAATTAGCAAATGCTCTCAATTGCTATTTTTCAAGTGCTCCGCATTCACAATCAGTCGCGCTTTGATTTTTAGTGGCTTTAACGAGATGATAGGATGAGTAGTTGTCCCACTGGCTATGACCTTTCTTTAAGAGGCTGTCAAATGGGAATAAGGACAAGAATGGTATCTTCCCAATCTTTTTGTTAATGGAGCTGTGAGGAGTGGGTCTGTTGTATTGAATGTTAAGGGCGCAGTAAGAAACACTAGGTTTTTGTCTTTAAAATTACAGTGTGTGATAAAGCAAGAGCTAATAGCCCAAACTGTAAAGAAGAGAGATTGCTTTTTTGTTTTTTTTCCGTTGATTATTTTTAATGGAATTGCAGTGCATTGCTTGAATGTAGCGTAATGTCTCAGACTCCAAACAGATTTCAGCTTGCAGAAAGCCCAGTGACATTTAATAGCATCTATATCCTTTTTATTAATCTGCTCACAGATGGAGTCTTGCATCAACAGTCTATTAAATGTTATTATAATCTGATATCTGACATTTAAAATAAGCTTTCCAGGGATGTATCTGTGTGATGGAAAGGTGGAAAAAAGTTGACTTGCTGTATGGTTCATTACGTCATGATTAATTATCTCAGTACGGGAAATAGGAGGAAGACAGAAGAGAAAGAAAACTATATATACATAATTGAAATCTGATAAGCATTTTTTTATGCGTGTTTTTTTTGCTGTGGATTGTCAGGTGCATTTTAATGAAGGCTTTCTTAACTGCACTGTGTGGTTTTCTGCTCCAACAGAGGACCGAGCCAGAGAGAGACGCACTTGAAATCAATCTGAAGAGAAAGGGCTTCCAAATGCCTTGGACATCCCTCCACTCATACCTTTTGCCCTGGAAATGTGTGTCATGGCCAATCATGGCCTAATTGCTAAAAACTCATGTGGCACATACTTTATGGAATCTGCATTTGAGTTTTTTTGTTAGCATCGTCACTTTGTTCTCCTTGATCCTCCTTGGGAATTGTGATCTAGGGTTTTGTTTTATCATTTCTGACATTTTTGCCTATATATTCATGTTCAATTTCTGACATATTTCCCTATATTCTCTGGTATCAACAGTCTCTAGGTCTGCTTTTTAACTCTGAAAAGCAGCATAGCTGCTCTAACTACTGTTGTGTAACCAGTGATAGAGGTTGTACTGTGGTGTATGATTTGCCGTTGAATATTTAATTTGTATGTTGTACGACATTCCTCCTGTGAAGCAGACCTCCTAATTGTAATGTTCTAAGGAGCTATGTCTTATTGTTGTACTATATATGTCCATCCGTCGGTTATCAGAAAGCTGCTTTTTCCTGGGAAGAGTGAACTTCAGGCCTATCCCAGAGGGTGTGAGGTGAGACTGCGTACTGGGTGGGGAAAGCCAGTTCCACTGCTTAGCATGCAAACACACAGGGACAATTCAGTGTCATCAGTTCACCTAGCTGGCCTTCGTCTGTGGACCTGGGGAGGACACTGGAGCACCTGGAGGAAACCCGCACAGACATGCAGCACGTGGAGAATAAGGAGCTGTGAGACAGTTATGCTAACAGCCACAAAAACATATCAGTCTACTGTAAATGTCACACAGCAGTAAAGACTTTTTTGTCCTTAAGGAGTCGAATAGGAAAATATTCCTATAATAACTTCTTTGAAAGGAGATGCAACAGAATTTTGATGACTGTGAATTTAAGGCACTTGCTGTGAAATCCTATGCTCTATTTCCCGTTTTGATAAGAATCAACATTGAAGGTTCATTAATTAACAGGGTCAAATATATCTTTGTTTTGATCAATGGAAATAAAAGAAGCATACAACTAATTTCCTTTCTAGACATTATAATTAAATGGACATTTCTCCTTGAACTTGTTTAACTTTAAACTTGTTAAAACTCCTTTTCATTTTTTTTAGGTAGGTAAAACAGTTCACCAGCACACAGGGGACGGAAGTGAGTAGAGATGGGCGTCAAAACATTTACCCACAGTTCCCCCACCCACAGCCAAGAAATGTTAGAAAAGCTGAACACCCTAAGGAACGAGGGTCATTTCTGCGATGTCACCATCCGGGTGCAAGACAAACTCTTCATGGCGCACAAGGTGGTTCTAGCTTGCTGCAGCGAATTCTTCCGCTCTAAGCTAGTGGGCAAGCCAGATGAGGAGGACAAGTTTGTCTTGGACTTGCACCACGTTACTGTGAGCGGCTTCACCCCGCTTCTGGAGTATGCTTACACTTCAACCCTGTCTATAAACACCGAGAACATTATTGATGTGCTGGCTGCTGCCAGCTACATGCAGATGTTTACTGTAGCTAGTACCTGTTCAGAGTTCATGAAGTCGAGCATTCTGTGGAACGCAAACAATACACCCCAAGAAAAGCCTCAGGAGTCTGCTCCTGAGAACACCACTAACTGCACCTTAACCCCTCAAGACGGCAGCTTGTCCCCGGTCTCCTCGGAGTGCAGCGTGATGGAGCGGACCATACCCGTCTGCCGAGAGTCTCGCAGAAAGCGCAAGAGCTTCATCGTGATGTCTCCCGAGAGCCCCCTGAAGTGCAGTGCGCAGGTCACCTCCCCGCAGGTCCCCAACCCTTCCCCTTCCTTCCCAGAAAACCAGACCCAGCCCATTGACTCGTCTCTGGCCTTCCCGTGGACTTTCCCCTTTGGAATCGACAGGAGGTTTCAGTCGGAGAAGCCCAAGCTTCCGGAGAGTCCCCACAGTCTGGAGCAGCCGGGGCCGTCTGATGTGACTAGGAGGTTGGCTGACTACCTAACCTGTGAGAGTTCGAAGGTGACGTCCCCACTGGCAGCAGAAGAGGATGTACGAGTCAAGGTGGAGAGGCTCAGCGACGAGGAGGTCCATGAGGAGGTTTCCCAGCCTGTCAGTGCCTCCCAGAGTTCTCTGAGTGACCAGCAGACAGTCCCAGGCAGTGAGCAAGTCCAGGAGGACCTCCTGATTAGCCCGCAGTCTTCCTCCATAGGTATGTACTCGGCTATAGGACTGCAGTAAAATTAGGACGTCATTATCGAGATCAGTGTTTCTCAACCCTCATTACGAGGGACGGCTGTGTCTTCTGGTTTTTGTTCCAACTGAGCCCTTAATTACCATCGGTAAATGATGCATGTAATTAATCTACTTGCTTATTTAGACGTTTCTGCATCCAATCTTTTGTTTCAGCAATACCGTAGTTAAAGTATATTGTCTCCGGCGTGCAGCTTCAGCAAGTAGAACGTTAATAGACTTTTCTTGGCTTGCTAACTAATAATTGACTTCCTTATTTCTAAAAAGCCCTTAACAGGTGACATCAATTTAGGAAAGATCTGTAGGAATGCGACTGTACCTAGCGCACATTTGTTTTTCGTTTGAGTGTCGTTGCCGACATTCCAGCTAATACGCCCATTCATTTGTTTAAGAGCTAGACACAAATTTTAGAAAAAGCAGATAGAAAATGGAGATCCATTAGCCTGTGGTGAAAGAGCCACAGAAAAAACAGAAGAGACAGGTTGGGAACCACGCTTACAGAAATTATTAAGTTTTTTTGTTGCGCTATTTCAAAAATACGCATGGGAATATAGTTACGATTTACAACCATATTTCAAGTACAACTTCCCATATCCTGTATTTTGCATTACGAACTTGGTGACACCGATACGTATTGTGTTGTGCATACATTAGATGTATAATACTGTATATTCCAGTATGTAATATAAATTGGAGAAGGGCTGTATTTCAGAATAAACGAATACGTATTTTGAGTGTTTAGAGTAGTATCTTAGATTTAATATATATGTATGTTAACTATAGAATTCATTAAAAAGCTGTGTCAAAGCTTTGGTTTATAATACTTATAATAATACCCGGTTAAACAATTATAATTGTAGCAGTAATATCAGTGGAAATGATTGCCTTAAGTAATAACACTTTACTGGCAGTATTTGAAGTTGCTGCCATGGATTATGAATTTGTGCTCAGAATGTAGCACATTGTGTTGAGACATGCCCCACAGAAACTTGCTACTGAAACTGAAAACTTTGTTCTCTAGTTTTACGAAAAATAATAAACTGGAGACCTTTTAAATATTTTCTTAAAACCTTCAAAGCTGGTTTAGGAATTCATGAACCACCTTTTCAGCTCATTAGCAGTTTTTCCAAAGCCGTTCCCATATTTCAGAAGTTCTTGGCATACCATATTTGCAGATGATGCAGTTGTATTCAGAAAAGATTCAGAAATAAATGCTGAAGGCAGTGACACTTCCTTCCTTCACCCAAGGTTCAATAGATGAGGGCGTCACAGAAGGGTTACCGTCACTTCAGGGTCCATCCAATACCAGCAGCCACGCAGAGGATGATGAAAGGTGAGCTACTGTTTTCTAAAGACATCTACAAATCCCTAGATCATCTTTAAAAGAGAAATTGGGAGTTTCTATTCATCTTGCAATTAAGGTCATTGGCTTGTTTTTAATATGTGCAAGATTGATGGTTATTTCTTCACAACAAACATGTTTCAGCATCTACAGCACATGTTCAGAAGGAGTTGTGTGTGGTTGAATTAAGATCTAAGTTATTACCACATGCATTTTTTTGGTAACTATGTTATTTTAATTAGAATTTTAAGTTGGGGAAAAAAATGAAGAAACCATCAAAATAATCTAAATGTTTTTAATAATAATTCCTTACAATGATATAGCGCTCTTCTGGACACTCCTCTCAAAGCACTTTACAGGTAATGGGGACTCCACCACCACCAGTACTCTCACAACACACCAGCTATCAGTGGGGAGGAGAACAGAGTGATGAAACCAGTTCATTAGGGGATCATTAGGAGGCCATGATTGATAAAGGCCAGGGGAAGTTTGGCCAGGACACCGGGGTATCACCCCTACTCTTTTTGAGAAACACCCTGGATTTTAAATGACGACAGAGGGTCAGGACTTTGGTTTTACATCTCATCTGAATTAAGGCGTCTTTTTATAGTGTCCCCGTCACTACACTGGGGCATTAAGACCCACACAGACCGCTGCATGAGCTACCCCCTACTGACCCTACTAACACCCCTTCCAGCAGCAGCCTTAGTTTTTCCCAGGAGTCTCCCATCCAGGTATTGGCCAGGCTCACACCTGCTAAGCTTCAGTGGGCTGCAAGTTGTGTTGCAGGCTGATATAGCTGCTGGGTTTTGTGACAAAAACACACAGCTTGATTTGTCAGGTATGGTTATAGGTAACTGGCATTAGGCAAATACCACTTTAAAATGATGCAGTGCAGACACATCAAAACAGAAAACCAGACAAATTATTTTATAGTTTTTTTCTTCCACAATGATTGGTTTTTCTCCTGCATTATTGAGTCTTCTCTGCTTATGAGTTATGAAAAGGCATTAGCCTGTGTTTTATGTTCTTGAGAAAAGTACAGTTCTTCACTTTACCGACTCTGTTTGGTTTTACAGGCTAGAAAACGTACAGTATCCTTATCACCTGTATATAAGCCCTTCAGCAAGACCCAGCACAAATGGTCCTGACAGACCATTTCAGTGCCCAACTTGTGGAGTCAGGTTTACACGCATCCAGAACTTGAAGCAGCATATGCTTATCCACTCAGGTGCGTATTGCAGGCAGTCATTTGTGACCCAATATTGGTTTTCAAGACATATCTGTTATGTATTTATTGTATGTCTTTGTGAATTGTTTTTAATTGGGTTTGTACTTAATTGAGCTGATCACTATCAAATCGTAAGGTCTGGAGACATTAACTCTGTACTGAAAAGACAAACGATTGTGTGGCTTTTCAGCGGTGAGAAAAACATGCCCACACACATGTACACTTGTTAAAGAACAGTGGAATATATGCGTAACTAAATAAACACTGCAGCTGAAGTGTAGTTCTGTGACCCCACAGCTGCAGGAAGTACTGTAAAACTGTAAAAGTGCATGAACAGCAGAGTAAAATGTGAAGGACAAAATCATGTTCTATGGTATATGCACAGCCTTCTCCTGGAGGAGTGCCATGACTAAAGTGCCTCAACCTGCAAAGAAAAACAATGGCAGCTGTTTTCTCTCAGGTATGTGCCTTTAGAGGTCTGAAATCTGTGGTATTGCTCAGTGCCCTTCCTGCTACAACAGCTGTGCGGGATAGTGGGGCTGAACAGTTGTGTTTGAAAGGAGAGGTGGTGGGGGATAAAATTGTGATATCATACTATACTGTGTGTTACCAGTTTCCATTGTGATTTGATTCAGAAAGGAAGGAAAACTAATATCTGGCAGTTGGCCACTTTTTTTATTTGTGTACTCACAGTTTTAAGTGGAGTCTTGTAGTGGGGGAAAAATGCAACCTGTGACCACCTTGGAAATCCTGAACAAGATTTAGCCTTGCCTTAACTGTAAGGAGCTCTGGTGGTCTAGGCTGAGATCCTAACGGACAAGATTCCAGTTCACTGAGGCCACCAAGGCATTGAGCTTTTTATAAGTCACTTCCAGGATTAAAAAGCCGAGAGGTCAGGAGAACAGTTTCCCATGTTCAAGAGGTGCAGTCAGGGGTTCTCTAAGACCCTTGCTCACTCAAGATAACTGACTGCGTAGTGGAACACAGATTCTGACCTGTTGCTGCTTCTGCTGGGCCTAGGTGTGAGTTCCCAGGGTTCCAGGGTGTGCAAAGGCTCCAGGAAGATTTGATGAACAGCAAAGAAAGGAAAGGCAGGAATCTGAGCTCCCATTCCCTTTGTAGTGACCTGGTATTAGATGAGTTAGACAAAAGACTCCCTTTAGAATTGATCAGAAAACAAGCATTTGAAACTATGCAATATCCTGCCTGTTTTATGTCATCAGACATTTACCTTTTGTTAATGAACAGAACCAGTGCATGTCTTTCACATGCTTTCAATGGGTTCAAGCACTTTTGTGTCGAGATTTGGTATGCATATGCCTGGAACTAGCTTTAGAAATGTTTTAATATTTCTGTCTTAAAAAAAAACGGGCTTAATCTTTCCGTCATGGCACATTTATGAGGCCAATAAATAACCTATTCAGTGCAAGCCTTTTTTTTTATTCCTCAGGCACCGGTCTGTTGGAAATTTTCCTTGTGAGCCAACACAATTTCTCTCATTTGTGTTTCTAATTCCTTGGTTCAAAAATGTATTTTATATGATGGGCTGCTGTGCTGCTTGATGAAGCTCCAGTTACCTTTTGTCAGCAGAAAGCTTCCCATAAGATTTATTTTGGAAAAGGCGGTGGTTGTATGAAGCTGAGCCTTGACACAGAGCTGATTATATGCAAATAGTGTTGAAGTGTATTTCTATACCCTTGCTTTTCTCCTGACACACGAGGATAAATGGATGTGTCTGAAGTCCAGTGATTCAGGAGCTGACATTCTTCCCTCTGCTACACACCAAGGGGACTTATCTAAATTTGAGAAAACATGAACATCACCTACTAAGGCAGAATCTGAAGCGGCATAGTAAATTAAGAAGGATCCGTGCATCTCTAGCTGTGCTTTCATTCGGAGCCCTGATGTAGCACGTTCACTGTTCTTCAGCTGGTGAACCATTTCCTCTTCTCTATCTTTGCCCGCAGGCATAAAACCCTTCCAGTGTGATCGCTGTGGGAAAAAGTTCACAAGGGCCTACTCCTTAAAGATGCATCGGCTGAAGCACGAAGGTAAACGCTGTTTCCGGTGCCAGATATGTAGCGCCACTTTCACTTCCTTCGGTGAATATAAGCACCACATGAGGGTGTCCAGGCACATAATCCGCAAGCCGCGGATTTACGAGTGCAAAACGTGCGGCGCCATGTTCACCAACTCTGGAAATTTAATCGTACACCTGAGGAGTCTGAACCATGAGGCATCAGAGCTAGCAAACTACTTCCAGAGCAGGTGAGGCGTTCGGCAAAAAACACAAACCCCGCAACCCCCACCCCTACCCCCCCCCAACTGCACATGTGTGTTTTTCAAGAGGGAAAACTGTGGCCACCTCTTGTACAGAATTTGAGTCTTTCAAATCGTTAATACAGTATTTTAAACTTACAGGCTTGAGAGGAAGCTTCCTTTTTGAAAACCATGGCAAATATTTTATGTTTAACATATCCCAAATGATGTGTTTTTGATCATTCATAAGCACACAGAAGGACACGTTCCTGCCTTTATAGCCCACATTGCTATACTCCCACAATCTAGTCATCACATACAATTGGATCTTGTCTTACAAAGTAAAACTGGCCTTCCTCAATCTGTCTTGATTGATGTGTCCAGTTGAAGTTTTGTTTTGGCAGCTGGTTTCAAACATTTTACTGATTTTCTATTTCTAAATATTTTTAGGTTGTATATATTAAACGTTAATATTTGCCATAATGGTTTTCTCCACTGTGCTCATACGGTATTGATTTTTAGGATCAATAACGTATAATATCTGTTATGCCATCAAGCTTTTACTCCTTCAGTGCTCTTGGTCCTTACTCCTTCAGTACTCTGCAGTAACCGAACTTCACAAGGACAGTTGTAGCTGATGTAGTTTACAAAGCTGGTGTTTGCAGAGTCCGCTCTATAAAAGTTTCCGCTCTTCAAAGTAGCGCAATATATAAAAACAGAACCCATTTAAAAAAAGAAATTCTCATACTTTTGTAAACCTGGACCCATCTTCCACAGGTTTTAATCTAAAGGTAGGAAAGAGAATTTAACAGTCAGTTTTGCTATAATGTGCATTTACTTATTACAAAGTGGATGGACAAGCAAATAACAGTGTGTTATAAAACAAAACCGCTTAAAAATAATATAGCCATTTGTATTGGAAAGTGTCCCTTATTGCGGTAGTACCATCCACACTTACTGATTACTTCTGGTTTCTACACAACTTTCACATTATAGCAGAACCAACTGTATTTGGAGCTCTCAAGTTCTTAGAGGCTGCAGATGCACTTTGGTTTCATTTGTCTTCCTCAAGCCTATGAGACGGTATAGAGAATCGTCTCAACATGAGCATTGGATAACGAGTTCAGTGCGCTTACTGCTTCAATGCATGTTAGTAAGAGCCTCCCAGCTCTTGGGTCCTGGGTTTGATTCCTACCTGGTGTGCCTTCTGTGTGAAGTTTGCATGGCCTTCCCTTGTTGACATTGATTTTCTCTGAATTTCCTATCTTCCTCTCACCTCTGAAGGACATGCTGTCAGAGTTAATTAATGTCGCGAAATTGTCTGCTATATGTGTGTGTATCCCATCCAGGATCTATCTTGCTTTATTCCCAGTGTCTGCCAGGCCAGGCTTCTTATGACCCTATACTGCACAAAGTGGTAACTGAAAGTAGATTAATAGATGATGTGAATGGTATTCAGTGTTTGTTAACCTTTCTCCCATGGCATACAACATAGCTAAAGCACTCTTATCAATGTGCTGCTCGGGTCTGTCAAGCGAGGAAGAATTCGTAGGAAGAGAATTATCTTTTACTCTGCTCGAAAACCACATTTGATTAAACATCCATCGTGTTTTAAAAAAACAAAACAGTTTACAGCTGAATCCCCTGCTGACCGCTGATGCAATACTTTGGTTGGCCATTAACATTGAAACATGAACCAAATGTTTGGCTTGGTGACCATCATGTAGACTGTTTTGATTATTCAGCAGCTTGTATAATACAAAACAGCTCTCTGTCTCTGCAGCAAGATTAGTGGATTTCTGCTGCTAAAAGCAGGTGTCTGTTTTTCTTGTGATTATGAAGTGTGCAGCTGAAGCAAATAAAAAATCAAAGAGTTACTTTGTGTGGCCAGTTGAGGCAAAATACTTTGTTGGCATTCAGTGTTATTTAGATCATTGCCTGTTAAGCAGTAAATGCATGCATTTCCAGTAGATGAAATAACTTCAATAATAATTACTGTATTTTGTTGTCACACAGCTTGGAGGCTGTTTTGTCAGTCTGTGCCCAGCAAAATTATGTCAGTCTCTTGCACATTACATTTATAAAATACAAATTTTTCATAAATACTGGCTCTAAGACATTTACTTTTAGTGCTTTTTAGATAGAAATATTATCTTCTTTTCAGCTTTTCATCACTGATGCATATTTATGGCTACTTATCTCAGTGATGGATTCGCTTTTCATTTTAAGTACCATGTACTGTACAGAAAGTCACAACCACATCAACATTTCCTTTTCTAGTACAAAGAAAAGGCTACTTGTGTGAAAGAAAACAAGACATTGTCGCTGTGTGTCATGTTCTGATTATCTTATTGAAGCCCAAAACGTTCGGAGTGCATAAAGAAATCATTTTTAATAGTGTTAGGGTCATGTTCATCTTTCCCAACTTCAAGAGAAGAAAATGACCCGACCTGAGGTGTTCACATCAATTCCCTTCTTTTCCCTCCTCGGCGACAACGAAGAAACGGCGGCACTCCAGTATATGCGAGCATTGGGAGCATCTTTTATCATCCTGTTCTCTTTTTGTTTTATTATTTTCATCTCCAGTGATTTCCTCGTGCCCGACTACCTGAATCAAGTGCAGGAGGAGGCTTTGGGACAGTACGAGTTACCAGAGCACAGTTTTGAAGGCAGCTCCTCTGTCCAGATGCCCGTTATCTCCCAGGTGTCGTCCACGCAGAACTGTGAAAGCACCTTCCCGCTGGCCCCCCTGGGCGGACTGACCGACAAGGAGGAGGAGGAGGGAGTGGCGGAAGAACCAAAGACAAATGCCAGCAGCTCTCCTGAGGACCCCGACGAGGACCCCCAGAAGAAAGGGCTGGCTGCGATGACGCTTGAATAAGCCTTCCCTGCAATTGGAAAGTGCCTGAATTTCTTTTATCCGATGCTGACAGCATCCTGAAAGGGAGAAACAAACAAAAAGAGACAGAGAGCAACAAAAAAAAAGTTTCTTTCTTTTTTTCAGAATTTTCTTTGTGCCTATTTCAACTTCGAAAACGTGTTCCTGAAATATTTTTTTTAATGGAAAAGCTGTGGTTTCCGTATATACTTTCAAGTGCTGTGGCTTCAAACTAAGGACTTGTTACATTTTTGAGGTCTCATTTGCTTGTATTTGGATGCTTGGCTGGATATTTTGATGTTTGTGAATCTTGCGTGTGTGTGTGTGTGTGAGCGTGTTTTTTGTTTTTGTTTCTTCCCTTGAGAATATGAACCACATTTTTAAAAAAGTATTTTAAGCATTTGTTTTAATTCATTAGTGTTGCAATGGCTTTGTCTTTTTAATATTCTCGATAAAACTGTTCAACCTTGTTCATTTTCTGATTGAACAACAACTTTGCAAGCTTCTGGCCTATAATGTATGCTGGTAATTATTGTTCCTGTGAAAAAAGAAAGTACAGTTTTTAATAATTTAAATGCATGAATACTCTTAAGGTAGTGTTCATGCCTTTCAGAGGATACATATTATCCACACGCAGCACTGGTTTAGATGTTGATATTCTAAATTGGTTATCAATCCAGACATATACAATAGCTGTGTGTTATTGTTTTAGATTGAATATTTATGGGGTGTTAAGCTCTATGTTGCTGCTTTCCTAAATTCATCTCCGGTTATCAACAAGCAGAATGTCCCTGAGAAGGTATCTGTTCGAACTGTCTAATGTATATACAAAAGTGCAAAAAGAGACCAAAAATGTGTTTTTCTAATAGATTTTTGTTATTTTTTTCAGTCTCTTTTAGCATATGACTTGCAGGCTAAACCTGTATTTTTACAGTGGTGCATCACTTTAAAGAAGAGAAATGTGCAGCTGAAATTCAGTGAGCTTCTCCCATGACATCCCCAGTGCCTGTGGACATGGAGCTGTGGCAGCTTTTGGGAACATTGCTCTGATAAGTCAGTCACTGTCTGAAGTATACCACTGAGTGTAGGGGTGGACTGCAAGTCTATTCTGAGGGTTCACAAAAGCAATTGTTTTAAGGTACATTAATAGATGACTCCACTTAAATTGGCATACAGCTCCACCTGTTCAGGAGTAAAAATGCAAAATTAAAAAAGTCAGGGTGTCTTTTTAAGTATTTTATGTTTTAGCTCTGAAAATTGTATAGCAAATGTTGTGTCATCTATGAAAACTATTATTCTGAATGTGCCAAAACACTGAGTACCATAATAATTTTAATGGAAAAGATGATAGTGATACCATATGGGGAGAATTAATGTATCTCAGCACATATTTCCAGTTGAACAAGGGGTTATATAATAAGTAGGGCCTGGAGTTTTCGTGACTAATTTTCTGACTTGTATTTCTGTCTTTAGCTCCAAGAGGTTGTAGAAGCCTTTTCTAATTAAGCAATTAAAATGTATCCCATTGCGCCCTTTTATTCATATCAATTAGTCATTTAATTACTTCAAATTATGCACATAAAAATGGAGATTAGCAGTAATGTAAATGGCTGTTGACACTTTCAATAACATGTCAATTTTATCTATTAGTATTGCAGACAAGCAATAAATTACAGTGATCATTAGGGAGCATGTGTATAATATGTCAACAGAATAGTTTTGCTTTGTTCAAAGCAGTTTGAAATATTAAGAAATATTGAAATCATAAAATAAGTTGCAGTTGCCTGTATAAAAACAGTGTGAAAAGAACGGCTGACAAGGAACAAGTAAATGCCATTTACATGTAAGTACAGTCAAAGGAAGTCCCCAGTGTATTATTTTTTGCTGTTAAACTTATTGTCGGCAGGTTTGTCCATTAACCGAGACAAATCTAGTCACGTTCTGAAAGTGAACTTCAAGTGCTTTTAAACATTTCACAGTGGAGCTTTTGGTGTAGATCGAGTAAACTGTATCTGCTAGAAAAACTGGCAGCACTGGTACATAATTGCCCGTGCAGAGCGAACAGTGCTGAGCAGTGGTCTTTTATATCTCTGGTTTTTCGGCAGTAACTCTGGATAAACTATCAGCAGTTTCAAGCAGTTCTGCAGTTTTGTTTTTGCTCATATCAGCAATCAGCAGTTAGTAGTTTCTCAGTTGACTTGCTGTAGGAATCGCCTCTGCTTTTATTACATGCCTGCTCAGAAATGCATGCATCTTGGGATGGTCGAATTATCCCTGGGGACTGTTGGCACAGGCCGATGTTCTGTCAATAAATTACAGCATGTCTGCATTCCAGGCTGTCTTTTCCCTTGCGTTTTTTGTACAGGACTCTCTCTCACCAGTGTCTTTCTCAGCTGTTTTGAAGCTGGTCTATTTTTGTCTTTTGATCGTGGTCCAATGATAAGCTTTAGCAAAATAAATTTAAAACCCGTCCGTACACAGTACTCCAGGTGAATTTCCTTTGATCCATTTGGATCAAGTTCTTAACTCGCACCACTAAACTTATCATAATATGCTTCTAAATGTATAATTAAGCATAGTTCCTGTGCTGTTTACCTTGAGCTGACTGAAATTGGAGTGCCGGCAGGGACACCTGGACGATATCAATTGAACTACAGGTTAGGAGCTCATAAAGGTCACATAGTCATGTGAAACTCCAGGCCCTATTAATAATCCGTATTTACCAGCTGCTTCTAGTAGAAATTAAGTGTGTGAGATGAAAAACAGCAAAGTCTAGCATGGAACTTGACATGGGGAACTTAACTATGGGGTTAAGATAAATGTGAGAGAAAACACTAAAAAAACACTAACATCAAATAATGACCCGCTGTGAAAATGTAATTTGTCCTAACTCATGTACCTGTACCCTTTCCGTTCTAGTTTTTACGCTGAAATAAGGAGGTTGCAGTTTTAATTTTTGTACTGTCCTGTATTAGGGCACAGTTAATTGAACTCTTAGGCCCAGACGTAATCAGAGTACTTTTCTTTCAGAAATGTCTAGCTGCAGTGGAACAGGTCCAGCTGAGGGGTGTGATGACCCGTCATTTCTTTAGTCACAAAGGAAAAAAAAGTAATCGAGCAGTGAGACACACATGCACACAAAATGCCAGCAGGAGTCCTGGTTATACCAGACAGAAAATTACTTTGAATAAATGTGCATAAGAATGTTATTTTTTATAATAGAAATCCAAAGCCTTCAGTCCCCAAAAGTACTGGAAATGCTGAGCTCCATTATGTCCTTGCTTGGTTTTGTGAAGTTATTTTTTACGATTAGCCGGTTCCTGAAATTATCCTCCCTTTTTGTGTTGTAACACAGGTTGTCTAGAAAGGCGGGAAGCTCACGATGAGGCAGCAGACACTAAGGAAACCATCTTCTTAATTGCTGGAGTTGATATTTTCCCACATCCTATGTAAGCAGAGCAAAAGGAATGATTCCTTATTTGTCTTGCAGTTTTACAGTTCTCTTTTTTTTTCTTTTTAATCTTATCAGTGGTGTAGATTTCAGTGGTTTCAGACTTCCTATGAATATTGGTTTCTGAACTTGTGAAAGACTTGATTTTTAAATGTGTTTCTGTTTCACATGGCAGTTACATATGTGTTGTTTTTAATTTGAGTATGTTTTTTTTTAAGTTTGCCCTTTTATTATTAAGTAGCACTTTTCATAAATGATGTAAATAAATGAGAAAAAACTGGAATTGTCCATCCCAGTCATCATAAATCCATTGCAGTAGGGAATTTTAAAAACTGTGTTTCTCAAGTGGACTCGCTTTTTTTACTGCCATTGTAGTTTGTCCAGCAGGAAACTTCATTTCTCTTCAGTGGCATGAGGTTGACTTTTCTGAGTGCCACCTGGGTTTTTAATTAATTGAAATTAATTACACAGGAGAATCCGGAGGTGTTGCACTCTCTAGTTTCCCCAGTGTTTAAAAAAAACATTCTGATACTTTGTGTGATTCAGAGGACTGTATCTGTAGAATTGAGTGATAACATTCTGAGTAAAGTACTTAATCTTGACATCTGAAGTGGGGCACTTAATTTCAGTTTCAAATAAATTTTTCATCTGATTGAGGTGCTTAATTCTCATCTTAACAAAAAGACATCTAAGAAGTCTTATTCTTGATAGAGGAACAAGTAATAGGTTTATTCCATGCTGAAAAAAAACAACGTTTCGGCCGTGGAGCCTCCTTGATAGAGTGCCTTTAATGATTTGGGTTAAGGCTTGATTTTACAAGTTCATAAAAATGCTGGCATGTTCTCCAGATATTGATTTTAATATGAATAACTTGTTTTCGTTTAATTTCCCCAATCAGTTCTAAGCCTAAGAATTACTCTTTAATATCTGTTTTATGTGAAAATGCAGTATGTTCTCTTTAAATTTTCAAATTTCGTTGTCTACTCTCTCATAGCACTCTTGAATGAATAGGCATTTACTGTTTTTTTTTCTTTCATTTGGTGTAGGTCTAAGAATTCTGTCTAGTCATTTGTGAGACCTAAAGGTAGATTACACCAAGTGTGATGTATCTTTCTTATGAAGTGACATCCTTGAAAATGGCCTTTTGCTGATTCTGCTTCCCAGAGTCAGAGTTTAAAACTCTGTTGATTATGAAACATGACCACAATGGTTTACAGGCAGTGCTGATAAATAATCCCAACTACTTTATTTTGAATAATTCTGTTTAATCGTGATACCAAAAGGGCATTGCTAAAGTATCATCTTGTGAAGAGACAGTGACTTCGAGTTGTGCTTTAAAAGAAGGTGTGCCATTGTGAAATAAATAAAAAAAAAAACTTAAGTTAGATTCGGACATCTCATTTTGAAAATTACAAGACTTTTTTTTTAATTTCAAAATGATTTAAATAATAATTAAAACTATTACATCTCAACTCTTATACAGAAGATTGTATTATTTGCAAATGACTGGTCCTGAAAACACAATTCTGGGGTTGACTTTGGCACTGGGGCTTTTTTTTCTTTCTGCTTTGGAGAAAATAAGACAAAAACGGAAATAATCCTAGTTTCTTGGATGTTTATAGTATCCCCTATATACATCAAGATCCTATTATTTTTGGTGTGTTCAATTTTAGAAAAAAATACGCCTCTGAACAGGACACCGAATTGTATTTATTAAGTTGTGTGAGAAACGTTGGGTCTACTTTTAAATTCTAAGAAATCAAGGATTCCTTTGGCAGTCAGCTTCATTGGTATCCTTGAAACGTCTCAATTAATGGTATAATCATTGATAGGAAACAAACCCATAGGACTTCTGTGATCTCCACTTAGTTAACTGGAGTAATTAGAAGTGCTTATTAATTCCAAATGAGGTGAATCATTTAATATAGCGGGATATTAAGAATTTAAGTGGATTTACATTTTTCACTTTTCTGAAAACAAGATTTTTTTTTGTATCTGGTAGGAAATGTGAGACACTGTTAAATGTGAGACACTGCACCTCACAATATTTTTCCTCCTGCAAGAATTCTCTTCAATTAATGACCAGATGTGGAGTGCTATCTGCGAGATAGTGATTGTTTCCCTCTAATGTCTCAGATGTGTAAACAACCTAAAAGTTAAAAGTTAAGAGCAACACTGAAAGTATGCAGTGCTGTTCTTGTGCAGATAATGGAAGATCAAAGGACAATTTGATGTCTTAAGAATGCTTGTCAGTTTTGGCAGCACAAAATTTAAGTGATTTTCAAATGTTATTTAAAAAAAAAATAATGTCAGTGTGATACTGAAAGATAGGCCCTGAATACTTCAGAGATTTTCATCATTTTTACCTGGTCCTTTCTTGTGCAGGAATGGGATGCTTGGCTTGTAGAGTTCATTATTACAATGTGACTTTTAGATTAACAAGTTAGAGAAGATAAACCTGTGAAAAAGTTTGTTTTAAAAAAAAAACATTTGGGTTTTAAATTTTGAGTTTCCATGATTTGTGAATTGAGCATTAAGTTTGTGTTTTGTGAACTTGAGAGCATGTGCTTGCTTTCTTTATTCAACTGATAAATGTTGCCTTTTGAGTGAGATGACTTGTGCCCTCAGGCCAGACTGTAATATTGATGCGTTTAGCTTTGTCCTGATATCATTTGGCATGAGGAGGATGTTTTTTTTTTTTTCCTGTTGTTGTTGGTTTATTTGTTTTACAGGATGTTGCTTCTGATACATCTGTGTGCAATGTTTTTAAACAGATTTCTTCTGGTATATTATTGGCTTTTTATATATGATATACTATTTCTGGTTCATAGTGTTTATCAAAAAAGTGTAGCTCTTTGTCACTATATATTTTTGTGATATTTTGTATTTCAATCACTGTTTAACGATAATGTCATTTTTGGAAATTCTTATAATCAATGTGAATACCAGAAAACGGTCAAAAATGATTCTGAGCCTTATAGTGTTCACTTGTGACTATGTCTGTATTGTATATATTATGTATAGTTTCATTAAGCTAAAAACTAGTTTGATTTGATGAACAAAACATTGTATTGTGTGACTTTTGATATTTAAACTGTAGTTTATTTAAATGGTTTTACACATCCAATGATGATATCCGCACATTTTAAAAGTATTACAGAATGAAAGCTTTGGTGATTTCCAAACACAAAAAAAACCCTGGATTTCTTTGTACACAAGTGCTAATACTAGATGTTTTTCTAGAGCATTTTTGAAATTGACCTACCAGTGTAGAAAAAAAAAGAAAAGTATATATTTTTGTTTGACTTTACTAATTCTTGGATGCATTTAAACCCTAGCCAACCATTGTGTTTTGAGATTGCAAGCATATTCGATGGGGTTGTTTTGTACAAACAAAAACTTAAATTGTAAATAAAAGTATATATATACACATGAAGAGTGATGATTTTGTTTGGGAAAGATTGATTTATGAGGAGCCACAAATCAGAAAAAAAAATGATTTATAAAGCTGTCTGCTCAGTATTCAAGAAGTAGTTGCCAGAGAGTAAACACCTAAAATACAGTTCAGCTCATTGTATCTTTTTTTTTTCTTTTAATAAAATATTTAGTTGGCAATGCTATCTAAAGCAATTTACATTTGTATCCATTTCTCTCGGCTGGACGTCCCACTGGACCAATCTTGAGTGAAGTACCTTACTCAAGGGAACAACAGCAGTGCTTCCTCAGGGACATAAACCCCCAGCTTTCTAGTTACACATCCAGAATCCAAGCCACTATTCTACACCGCTGACTCCTGTGTAACCAGCATTCAGTGATATAATTCCTCATACGAATATAAGGTTACAAAGAGGGGGGGATAAAGGTATATCTAGCTTGTTTGGTTGCTAGCAGCTATCTCGTTAGAGGTTCTTTTCCAGCCGTCTTTTCAAAATCATAATGTCATAACCGTCCTTTATAAAACTCGAATCAATGGATGGAGAACAGAAATGAAAGGGGATTTTTTGTCTTTAGAAGTGGGACGTCGCTCAAAACCCAAAGTCACAGCGAGAGACCTTTGTACTTCTTAATTTTTTTGAGGACAAAAGGGGCATAAATACGTGGCAGTCTTTGGGCACAGCTATTTTGAAACCCCGGAGGCTGTGAGAAAACGAGGGTTTCGTCCGTCAGCAGCAGTGTTCCATGTTTATGTGAAACAATCAAATGCAGTCAGCTATTTTCTGTACGAGACTTATCCTTAAGAGATTTCTTCATGAATGTTTAAGAGGTTCAATACAGTGTTTAAGAAACAGCTGTTGCTGAAGGTTCATTTATACAAGTGTGTGTTCTGACATTAATAATCGCGCTGTTAGGAGGTCATTCAACGTACAAGGCTACAAATGTTGCAGTTGGCCATCGGATTTGGCCGTTTGCTAAACTGCCTCTCTTATGTGATATCAGTTCTTAAATACATACATGAGTTTTGTAATGAAAATTTTGGCTCAACTTTTGTGTGAGTATGTCTCCTCTGAAGGACTATCAAGCAAGAATTTCACCAGTGTTTACCCTTTCTTGAATCATTAATGAGCAAGAACCTGCCCAAAGTATGCTTTTTTTGGCGAGTGGCTACCTACAGTGAAATTAATCTCGGCATGTTTCACTTTTTTTTTTATTTGTTCCTAAAGTTCCTTATGGTCTTTTTCCTTGCCAAAGGAGCGGTGTGGTGGTCAGTGATGTTTCCTCACAGTTTCAGGGTACTGGATTCAGTCTGGGCTGGGGTCTGCTGTCTTTGAGGGGTTTTTCGTGGTCTCCCTGTGTTAACATACAGTAGGTTGCTGCGGTTCCAGTTCCCTTTCGCCTCCTGAAAGCATTGCATCATTGGTGTATTGGTTGGCGACAAATTCAATACATATTGTCGATTCCATGAAGAGAGGAGCTGGACACTCCACCCGGCCCAGATAGGATGCCTTTCTGACTTGTGCTCATATTCTTTTGTGGATCTGTATGATGCGATACTTTGTC